CCCTCCCCCTTCAAGATGGCCCTCCTTTTTGGGCCAAACCAAAGTATGCCTCCCACGTATTGATTGATGGCTTTACCCATAACCCTTGCTCTGAAATGTATAAAAACCAAACTGTAACCCAGCCACAATGAGTCCACTTGCCCAAGGCCTCTTGGCAGTGGCTCCGGGTCATGGTCCCCAAATTTGGCTCAGAATAAATCTCTTTAAAATTATTTTGCAGAGTTTGGCTTTTTTCCATTGACACTCCTTACTTCCTAAACAACCGCTTACAAAACTCCCCCCCAACACCTCTTCCTGTCGCCCAGACAGTGTTCATAGATGCCTCAGGATGATCGTTTAAAGCAGGAATTACATGGAAAGACGGTGATTGGAAATATTTATCCACCTCTGGTTTTCCCTCCACTCAACAAGCAAAATTATGGGCACTTACATTAGCTTTAAAAACATTTCCATTAGAACCCCTAAACATCATCACTGACTCCCATGGTGTATTCTATTATGTTCTCCATATAAAAAATGCTATCATTAAGGATATACCTAAAAATTCAATAATTCTTTGTTCTACAGCACTTATTAGATATCAAGCGACACCCTCTCTGTATTTCTCATATTCATGCTCATACTCCTTGCCTGGACCTCTGACAGAAGGAAATAGTGCTGTTGATCGTCTCGTTTCCTGTATAGTTCCAAACACTCAAATGCTGACTAAACAGTTTCCCATTACCCAGAACTAAGCTCGTCACATAATATGTGCCTGCTCAGCTTGTCAGGATGTACAAGCTGTGCCTTTATCACCTGGGGTTAACCTTCCCAGCTTAACTCCTAACTCACTCTGGGAAATGTACATTACTCATTTCCCTGCTTTCAGGCACCTCCAATATCTACAGGTAGCTGTTGACACTTAGGAATGATTCATGCCACTCCATTAGCAGGTGAGCACATCTCCCATGCTATCACTCATTTGTTAAACTCCACTGCTTATCTAGGGCTTCTTCATACCGTAAAGACTGATAATGGACCCAGTCACACCAAAGTTGATTTTCTGACTACTTTACAGGACTGGAACATTTGCCATATCACTGGCACTCCACGTAACCCTACTGGACAGGCAGTTTTTGAGCTGACCGACCAAACCTTAAAAAATTATTTGGAGGGCCGGGCGCGGTGGCTCACGCCTGTAATCCTAGCACTCTGGGACGCCGAAGCAGGTGGATCATTTGAGCTCAGGAGTTCGAAACCAAACTGAGCAAAAACGAGACCCCGTCTCTACTATAAATAGAAAGAAATTAATTTGGCCAACTAATATATATAGAAAAATTAGCTGGGCATGGTGGCACATGCCTGTAGTCCCAGCTACTCAGGAGGCTGAGGCAGGAGAATCGCTTGAGCCCAGGAGTCTGAGGTTGCTGTGAGCTAGGCTGACGCCACGGCACTCACTCTAGCCTGGGCAACAAAGTGAGACTCTGTCTCAAAAAAAAAGAAAAAATTATTTGAAAAAAGAAAAGAGGGCATACCCTGCCCCTCCACAACAAAGAGTAGCAAAAGCATTATACACTGTTAATGTTTTGCCTTTGTCCAGTCTCTAGCCACCCTCCACCTCGGTCTTTTGTTATCACACCTCCCTTTCCGGATCCCAACCTGAGCCCTGACAGAGTGTGGGTGCGGTGGTGGGACTCCACAGGAACCTTGGATGGCCCTTTTGGTGTGTTAACATGTGGAAGAGGATATGTTTGTGTTCAGACTTCTATAGGCCCTGAGTGGCTCCCTTCCAGACGTTCTCCTACATGATGAGCTGGATTCACAAATGAAATGTCTTTCCCTCCATCTATTGCCAATGGGGGTCCTGCCACGACAGACACGTAACACTGTGACGGCACCCAGGATCATGTGGGGTCAACTGAAACAACTACAGACATAGACCTCAGCTATGATGACATAATTGGGGATTCCTCCTACCCTGGGGGACACTTTTCTGGTGTATTTGGCTATTGTTGCCAAATAGCCAAATACAGTATTGCCAACTGCCAATAGCAGTCAGGTACCCCGAGGGCTGCTTTGTAGCCTTTTCCTCCTTTTATTTCTCCCAGGCAGTACAGCCACAGTTTACTGGGCTCATGTCTTAAACCCGCCTGTGTTTAAGCCCATAACATGGTGGGACTCTGAGATCCCTCTGTCTACCAATGACTCAACATGGACTGGAGGAGTATGGTTGCCTCCATGTTCCTTGCAAAAATATCAAACAGATTGGCTTAATATTAGAGTCAGTAGTTTATCATTCCTCTAGTCCTCCTCTGTGTGTTACCAACTTACATAATATAACATGGTGCATTCCCATGATCACCCAAAAATATAATATCAACTGGTCGTGCTTGGTCTTGTCACTTTCTATCTTTTTACTTTCTAGGACAACAGATCTGCCAATAGATGACTTCCCAGCGCCATTATGAAAAGACATTGGCTGAAGCTTACATCTCTTTCTCCTACTCTCACTCTGTCTTTAATTTTAAATAAACAAAAAGGGGGATACATGGAGGCTGGGCCTAGAAGAAAGCATGGATGGATGGAAAGAACGTGAGCAGGGGGAATGAAGGGTCAAGAGAAAACACCTGCCTGAAGCTGCTTATTTGTAAGTTGTTAAAGAAATTAGCAAACAACCCTGACTCTTTGCATGTGTCTTTGGAAATAAATATGGGAAGGAACTTAGCTGAGGAGGCTACTTTCTCCTTCAGACTTTGGCTTCTCTAAACACTATGTGTTGTTGTTTTTTTTTTTTTTTGAGACAGAGTCTCACTCTGTTGCCCAGGCTAGAGTGTCGTGGGGTCAGCCTATCTCACAGCAACCTCAAACTCCTGGGCTCAAGCAATCCTCCTGCCTCAGCCTTCCAAGTAGCTGGGACTACAGGCATGTGCCACCATGCCCAGCTAATTTTTTCTATATATTTTTAGTTGGCCAATTAATTTCTATTTTTAGTAGAGACAGGGTCTCGATGTTGTTCAGGCTGGTTTTGAACTCCTGACCTTGAGAGCGATCCTCCCGTCTCAGCCTCCCAGAGCGTTAGGATTACAGGTGTGAGCCACCGCGCCTGGCCAACACTATGTGTTTTGAGTAATTATTTATTTCTTCACTACAGAGCTCAGGAGTGAAAAGCAGCTGCTACAAGCTTTGTGTTCCCTTGCACACAGAAGCAATGTGGAGAAGCCCAAGTAGATGCAGCTCACACAGTGGGCTTATATCCTAGCAAAGGAACCCCAAGCTTAGGAAAATCCTGTTTGCTAAACTTTGCCCCAGAATGAGATATTATCTTATCCTTGTCAGGAAACAAATCTACTCTAGAAGGAGCTACAAACATCCTTGAAAAGATAATCTGAAAGAAAAGTCAGCCACAATCCTTGCAGAAATTCAAGAGCCCCTTGGAGAATTGTCTCCTAACACTCTAGGTAATAGCATTTGGGGGTAGAGATGCCAGCTTTTTTTTTTTTATATAACTTTACAGGCTTCCAGTCTATAATTTTATCACATTTTATTTTAATTTTTTCCTTTTTAAAGACAATCTAGTGCTGTTGCCCGGACTAGAATGCCATCAACCTAGCTCACAGCAACCTCAAACTCCTAGGCTCAAGCAGTCCTCCTGCCTCAGCCTCCTAAGAAGCTGGGACTACAGGTGACAGCCACAACGCATGGCTAATTTTTTCTATTTTTAGCAGAGACGGAGTCTCACTCTTGCTCAGGCTGGTCTCAAACTCCTGACCTCAAGCAATCCTCCCACCTCGGTGTCCCAGAGTGCTAGAATTATAGGCATGAGCCAGGGTGCCTGGCCTTATTTTAATTTTTAAAAATATAATAAAAAATAGAAGGCAAGCAGAAATTCAGATTTTTTAGTAAAGAGATAAGGAGCCATTCAGGTTAGTGATTGGGAGAATGATAATATTTAAGGGCATGAACATACAGTAACCATACCGTGGACAGTTAGGAAGACTGTTGCAGTCACCTACCTACTTACGAGGTAATTAAAACTAAGAATAGGCCGGGCACAGTGGCTCACACCTGTAATCCTAGCATTCTGGGAGGCCCAGGCGGGAGGACTGCTCAAGGTCAGGAGTTTGAAACCAGCCTGAGCAGGAGCGCGACCCTGTCTCTACTAAAAAATGGAAAGAAATTAATTGCCCAACTAAAAAATATATAAAAAATTAGCCGGGTATGGTAGCGCATGCCTGTAGTCCCAGATACTTGGGAGGCTGAGGCAGGAGGATCGCTTGAACCCATGAGTTTGAGGTTGCTGCGAACTAGGCTGACGCCAGGGCACTCTAGCCTGGGCAACAGAGTGAGACTCTGTCTTAAAAAAAATAAAATAAAAATAAAACTGAGAATAGTGGTTACATTAATGGAGAAGAGCAACATTTCAATGGAGAAATCTGGCTCTGATGATTTCTCCTTTATCTCCATGTTTCATCTGGGTATATCAAGGAAGACTCTCAAGCCTTGTATAACCTAGAAATTGGTGATATGATTTATAATAGTGATTAGCAGGAATTCCTCAAGAAATTTGCAGTCCATGTGGGAGGACTGTATATATTTTATGAAGTGAAAGCAGTGAAGTACAAGGGAATATTTAACAGGGTCAAACGCAAGTCCAGTCAATTAGCATCATAAAGATCCACATAGTACTCCCTTCGCTGCTTTCCCAGGTTCCTCCAGTTCCCAGCCCCGGCCTCCTCACGCCCATTGATCTTCTTCCAGTGGACTGTTGCCCTTGCCAGCGAACGTGCGTTACCCAGACGGACTCGAGAGGCGGAGGTGACATCAACGTCCGTTATTCCCCAGGACATTCACTGTCCCCGGCAGCAGTGCAACCCTGCAACGCGCAGATGAGGGAGCAACCGAAGGCACAGCGTACTGTGGGTGAGAAGCGTGTTGGCCCCGTCCCCTCCATCGACAGACCATAGAGCTTTCAGACCTCCAGGATTCCTAGAGAGCTTCCGGAAGTGCCTTGGGGGCAGGATGCGTGCTGGCCGGTGTTGTGCCTCCGCAGGTTTGGAAGTTAGTGGCCGGAGGGGCCTGGTCCGGATACTGCTATTGTCCCCTTTTTTTCCCGACCTTCCTCCGAGACTATTCTTCCTTTGCAGCCTCCTTCCACACCCCGGGCTGCCTCTGGGACTCATGGTGAGTATGGTCATGCTGTGGACGGAGAAAGGGGGGCGCTTTGTGCCCAGACCAGGCCGCAGCTGAGGACAGGACTGAGGGGTCCGGAGAGGGATACTGTGGGGTGGTCTACTGATTCGGACTGTGAGGGGCCGCCTTAGTTGCTAGCGCAGGCCGAGTCCGTGTCCCTAAACTTTTTGTAAGGGAACCTTCAATGAAGATTAGCTTTCTTCATTTAATCATTTTATGGCATTATTTTTTAGTAGATCTTATTTGTTTTAAAGTAGGGAACGGCCCCTACCTTATCTTTTATCCAGCTATTTCCATGGTCTGAATTGTTTTCACTTATCACTCTTTTGTATTTCGGTCGCAATAAAATTCTTACTTTTTAAAAGATACATATTTTCCGTTTGGAAGCCCCAGTTATCTATGGACCTTTCTATTTTTGCTGTTAAGTTATTCTTTTAGTGTATTAAGAGACTCGTGGTGTGTTGACTGGATAACTGTACAAAAGAAACATTTTTTAAAACTTCGGAGTAATATAAAACTCAACATCAGAATACTTTGCTTATTTTTTATTAAAGCTAACTGAAGTAGATGTCTGTTAACTCTTTGGGAGGGTCCCCATTTCCAAAACCCGGGTCAGTCATGAGTAATTTTTGTCAGGTTCTTTGACTGCCACCACCACCTTCAAAAACATATTTTTGTTTGTTTGATCAGTTCAGTTGCGTATATTTATGTAGCAATCATTGTTTTAGCAAATGCATATATGTTTTGTATTTCTGTTTTGGTTAAGTGTAAAGTGTGGTAGGATATTAAAAACTTTCAACTAATGTAATTTCAGATAACTAGAAAGTATAGTATTTGCTTCGCCAAATTAAGTCCTGGAAAATATGTTTTTGTTTTCAGTTCCCAAACAATTCTCAATTTAGACTTAGTCTGAAGAATTTTCAACAACTAGTGAAAAAATAATGGTTTTAAAAGTTGTCTTCAATAGTTCACAGTATTATAGCATTTAAGATCCAGAGGAAGCTTTAAAGATTATCTATTTTAAATTCATAAATCAATAAACTTAAAGAGGTGTTAAGAAGAGTACAAAAGAATTGGTCTTCATCCATAAGGTGCTTACCAACTTAACACAAATGTGTACACTCAAAACTTTTTCAGAAGAAGGTACATAATAGACTGATTTTATATTCATTTATAGCTGGTAATTCTCAAAAACTGGCTGATAAGAGAGGGAAGAGACTAAAAAATGGAAAATTAGCCACTAAAAAGAATAATCAAGATGAGGAATGGACAAGACCTGTTGGCTGCTTTGGTGTAAAATATGAACAAACCCTCATATGACTTCTATCTGTCGCTGTTGAGACTTTAACCACATCAACAATATAAAGTTCTTGAATGCTACACACTTCACATTGAAATATTTTATAGCTAGTATTGATGAGAATTGATTGTAAGATGGCCAGTTGTTGAGTAGTTAAAAATGAACCTTTGTTGAGTAGTTAAAAATGAACCTTGGTTTTAATGAAATTTATAAGAAAACATGGTAGGACTATATATAGTATCACATTCTAAACAATTAGACTACCTTAGAATTCATGTCCCATTATGATGACCTTTAAATTTTAACATTAAACCATAAGTAGTTATTTTAACAAAATTTAAGAATTTGTTAAACTTTAATTGATTTTTAAAATTAAATTATTTTAAAATAAACTGAAATTATTTTAAAATTAGGAACATCCGTATCTGTTCAAAACAAAATTGATTACTCCTTATCTCAAACCCCCAACAAAATATCAACATCTTGCCCAAATTCTTTAGTCTTCCCCCAAATCTCACTATTGTAGCAAATCTAACTACTTCTCTATAAAGTCATAATCCATGAATTATACACTTAATGTTAATTGTTATATTTAACTTTATCTGTTGCTCCTTTGTTCTTCCAATCTATAGTTTATTCCCTACACTATTATTCCCAGCCTTGTCTAACTTTAAAAATAATTTTCAAATTCCCTTCCTTTTCTGTACACATTTTCTAAATAGGGTTCTTCTTCTTCTTTTTTTAATCTTCCTGGCATTCTCAGATGGGTTTTGGGTCTGTGAACTCTGCTGAAACTGAATGTACAATTTTGTGCCTATAGGCACATACAGTTCCGTGTTTTCTTTAGATTGAAGAGTGTAAACCAACCCCCTTCTCACCCCACAAAAAAATCTGAAACATACCGAAGCACTGCTTTGAAGACTCATGTCAGGAATTATATGTACAGTAATTGGATTTTCTTCCTAAAAGCCTATCTCTTTGTGAACTATAGGTCTGTGGTGTTATCTTGATATTGGGCATCTCTTGCCAGTTGCTTTTGGATATGCTACCTTTGGTTATGTTTGGCTCCATTCTCTGTGGTGCTGCCTGAGATACAAAGATAAAGGTTACTTTTACAAACAAACTTAACCAGAAGGCCATGGCCACAGGCAGACATTCCCCATATTCTGCACAATGTGATAAGTCCTATAAACTTTGGCAGGAATGAGCACCTTAATCTGCTGGGGGCTGGGAGGTTGACAGAGAACACCTCATGAAAAAGGTCGTAGGTGAATTAGAGTTGGACTTGAATGATTTGAGCTAGACTGGGATTTTTTAACTTTGGCATTGATAGTTTGGGCCAAATAATTCTTTGTTGTAGGGGGCTGTGTTGTGCACTGTAGGAGGTTTAATAGTATCTGTGACCTCTCTACATTAATCCTTCACATGTCCTCTCTGAGTATCTATTTCTATGTTCCTCTTTTCTTAAAAGTATACCAGTCATACTGTTTTAAGAACCTATCCTATTCTAATATAACTTCATCTTAACTTGATTACATCTGCAAAGACCCTATTTCTAAGTAAGGTCATGTTCACAGGTACCAAAGGTTAGGACCTCAGCATATCTTTTGGGAGGACATAATTTTAACGCATAGCAGCATTGTGGAACATAAATGGAAAAAAAGGATAACCAAAGGTAAGGTGACCAGTTACCACTGTAGCCATAAGCAAGAGATGTCTATGTCAAGGACAGAGACTATAGATGTATATTTCACAAAGAAGTAGAGATATGAAATTGGACTCGTTTTGGACCTTTGGTCTTGTTTCTAAACCTTACTCTTATAATACATACAGACACATTCTGTGTTAAGTATTGTAAATACAGCCCTCTAATGTTCTTTGATTCTATCAATAAGATAAGATAGGGACCTCTGCTTAAGGGGAATATGCTATTAAGATGTGAAGTCAGAATTCCTTTGCAACTAATAATATACAGTTATGGGATAAGTAACATTAAAGCAGTACACATTTATGTAGCAGAGGTATGAAGAGGGAAATAACTTCCAGTTGGAGTCACCAGGAAAGGATTTTAAAGGCAACAGTATTTTACCTTGTCCTTTAAGAATAGGTAGTTGACGCACTGATTAAAGAAGTCAAGACTTAAATATAGAGATACACTGTGTTCACAGAATGGAAAACTCAATATTGTTAATATATCAATTGTCCCTAAACTGAGCTATAGATTTCAACACAAATCCCATTCCAGAATTTTTTTGTAGGAATGAACAAGCCAATTGTAAAATGTATATCAAAAGGCATCAGAATTAGAAAGCCAAAACAATTTCAAAAACAAACAACAAAATTGCAGGACTCACACTACTTCATTTCAAGATCTTAAAAGCCACATGAAGACTGGGCATAGTGGCTCACATATGTAATCCTAGCTCTTGAGGAGGCTGAGGTAGGAGCATTGCTTAAGGCTGGAGGATTGCTTGAGGCCAAGAATTTGAGACCAGCCTGAGCAAAAGAGAGACTCCATTTCTACAAAAAACAAAAATTAGCCAGGCATGGTGGGGTGCACCTGTAGTCCCAGCTACTCGGGAGGCTCAGGCAGGGGGATCACTTGAGCCCAGGAGTTTGAGGTTGCAGTGAGTTATGATCATGCCACTGCACCCTGATAGAGTAAGACCCTGTCTTAAATAAATAAATCACATAATCAGGACAGTTTTGTGTTGGTGAAAGGATAGACATATTGGTCACTGGTACAGAATAAAGATTCCAGAAATAGACCCACATGTATATGGTCTGTTGATTTTTTTTTTTTTTTGCAAGCACAAAAATGAGATTTATTGAGGAGAGAAAGATGGGATTATAGAGCAAGAGCATGTTATAGGTTTACAGAGCCACAGATGACGTCTGAACCAATTGTCGCAGCAAAGGGAGAGCAAAAGGAAGGGAGAAAAATAAGCGGTCTGTTGATTTTTTTGAGAAACATGAAAAGACATTTCAGTGGATAAAAGATAATCCTTTCCACTAATGGTGCTAGAACAATTTGATATCTGTATGCAAAAAAAGAGCCTCCATCTATACCTCAAACTTTACATAAAAATTAACTCAAAATTAGAGGTCTAAATGTAAAAACTAAAATTATAAAACTTTTAGAAGAAAACAGAAGAAAATCTTTGTGACCTTGGGTTAATCAAAAATTTCTTAGATATGACATCAATAGTATACTTCCTAAAAGAAAAAAATAAACTTCAAAAAACTATGAACCTTTGTTCTTCAAAAGGTACTGTAAATAGAATGAAAAAGGAAATACTTTCAAATCATATAAGGGACTTGTATCCAGAATATATAAGGAACTCTCAAAACTTAATTTAAAAAAAATTTAAAAATAGACAAACGTTTTGAGCAGTAACTTAATGAAAATATATGGATGGCAAATGAGCACATACAAAGATACTAAGCATTATTTGTATGGAGGTGCAAATTTAAACCATAAATGAGATGTTAAAACCATAATGAAATATTACACACCTATTAAAATATCTAAAATTAAAAACAAAAACACATCAAGTGCTGGTTAGGATGGGGAGCAGCTGCAATTCTCATATATTGCTCGTGAAATGCGAAGTGTTATAGCCACTTTGGAAAACAGTTTGACAGTTTCTTATAAAGTTATACATACATGTATTTTATTACCCAGCAGTTTTACTTGTGAACATTTACTCAAGTGAAATGAAAATTATATCCACACAAAAACTCATGTAGCTGCTCACAGTGGCTTTAATTGTAATCAAAAACTGGAAACAACTCATACCTCTCAAATGAGGAAATGGGTAAACACTGATCCACATAAGAAATAAACTGATAATGTGCAACATTGATTAACATCACATGTATTTTGCTAAGTAAAAGATACCAGACTCAGAAAGCTATATACTATAAGCTACATACTATAAGATTTTATTTATATAACATTCTGGAAGCTCATTAGTGTATGGGATTAGACTTTTGGGTTATAAAGGTTGATAGGGCATCCTGATTCCTTGAGAGAGTTCTTAAGTTGGACAAAAGGTCCATAATAGAAGAGGTTAGCCTTGAGAGAATAGGGAAGATGGGGAGTGCAAGTAGGATAAAGGAAGGTGTTGGGAAATTTCTTGACAATACCTTGAGCTAGCTCATATGGAAATTAGTCTCATCTGATTATTTTGTTTGTTTTTTGAGACAAGGTCTCACTCTGCTGCCCATACTGGCGTGACCATAGCTCACTGCAGTCTTGAACTCTTAGGCTCAGATGATCTTCTTGCCTCAGCCTCCCAAGCAGCTAGGATTACAGGTGCTTCCACCATGCCCAGCTAATTTTTTTTAGAAACAAGGTCTTACTGTGTTGCTCAGGCTAGTCTCAAACTCCTGGTCTTAAGCAATCCTCCCCCACCTCAGTTTCCCAAAGTGCCGGGATTACAGGTGTGAGCCACTGCACCTGGTCTTTATCTGTTGAACATGAGGGAGAGGTTGAGAGCTGAAGTGTGTAGAAATAGTTCAGTACAGCTGGTGAAGCAAATGCTTAAAAGGAGTTAAATGAGCAACATTGAAGGCCATCTGAGGTTATAGACAGAATTTCACTTAGTCCCAGTCCTGACTTTGTTTAGCCGTGTTCCTCATCCCCAAAGATACAGATGAAAGCAGAAGAAAGAGGTAATTCTCTGGATGGGTTTGGCATAGCTGACATGGCAGAAGGTTAAGGAGTTATTTCTGGAACAGTGGAGAGGATCATTTAAATGGCTAAGCCATGAAGTCCATATCATGGTAGAGAGCTTATTAAGATATTGTAGTAAGTTACAAAGACTTTTGATTTGCTTTAACACTATCATTTTCTCTTCCTGAAGAACTACCCTTAGAAAAAAGGCTCTCAGAAGGTTCATCTGTTAAGAAGATAAAGAAGGTAGTGGACGCAGAGCCTCCTAAGCTTTTCAGGCCCTAAATGGCTGAAGAATTTAGAAAGCTTTCAGCCTCATCTCCACCAGATCAGGCTCCTGAAGAGGACCTTGTAATTGTCAAGGTAGAGGAGGATCATGGTTGGGACCAGGAATCTAGTCTGCATGAAAGTAACCCTCCTGGCCAAGAACTGTTCCGCTTGCGCTTCAGGCAGTTATGTTACCAGGAGACACTAGGACCCCGAGAAGCTCTGATCCAACTCCGGGCACTCTGCCATCAGTGGCTGAGGCCAGATTTGAACACCAAGGAGCAGATCCTGGAGCTGCTGGTGCTGGAGCAGTTCTTGACCATCCTACCTGAGGAGCTCCAGACTCTGGTTAAGGAACATCAGCTAGAGAACGGAGAGGAGGTGGTGACTCTGTTAGAGGATTTGGAAAGGCAGATTGATATACTGGGACGACCAGTAAGTAGAAGGAAGTGTGCATGCTATGACTGGGAGTCCTGGAAGCTGGGAAGAGGGACATTGGCATCACAGTGGGAGAGCAAATGCTTAGTATCAGTTTCTGTTAGATAAGGACAAAAATAGTTATAGTATTGTATGGCTTGTATTTGTAGAGTTCTTTTCATTTTTGTAAAGGGTATTGATCCATTTTTTTCCCTCATAACATCCCTACAGCATATTATTGCTCCTCTTTGCCACGTGGGAACTTAATGCCTACAAGGCTTAAATTACTTTTTCGGGGACATCTAAATAATTAAAGGTAGATTTGTGGTTAGAACCCAGGCTTCCTAGTTCCTTATCAGAAGTTTTTTTTTTCATTGCATAGCACAACTTTAATTTTCTATATTTTTTTTATTCTTTTCTACTGTCTTGGGAACAACTTAAAATATTAGTGTTATGTGTAGCAGGGAGGGCATCAGCAGAAATATGTTCCTTCAGTACTAAGCAGAAATGATGCATTTCTTTTCTGTGCTAGTCTACATGTTTGTGTCCCTGGGAAATAAAGGAGATTCTGCTGCTTCCTTCCTCAAGCATGTAGCCCTATAGATGTGCTCTTAGTTCTCTCATGTTGTTCACTTCATTTCACAAAAAGATTCCTTATAATCTAATTGTCTCATTGTTTCCAGGTCCCGGCTCGTGTACATGGACATAGGGTACTCTGGGAGGAAGTGATACATTCAGAATCTACACCAGAGGCTCCAAGTACTCAGCTCCAACCTGTGGCAATCCAGCATAAATCTCCAGTGTCCCAAGGGCCACAAGAGAGAGGTGAGGAGCCAGATTTCAGTGATGAAGAAGGGGGAAGTAGAAAGAAAAGTGCATTTGGGATACCTGGAGAACAAGGAATTAAAATCTTGTTTATATTCCGGTCCCAATATCTGTGCTTTAAATGCTTATCTAGGCTTCAAACGCAGACTATTCATCGCAGTGATAAACACATGAACAAACTAAAGGATTTGGGGATTTTTGTGTATCAACACATTTTTTTAATCTAGTACATTGACAACATAGGCATTTTTGAGGTTTTGCTGGTATCATCATACCACTTTATTTTCAAATATTTCAGTATGCATTTCCTCAAACAAGGGCATTTCTTAAATATCCATAGTGAATTTATCACAAGTAAGAAACGTAGCATTGGCCAGGTATGGTGGCTCATGCCTGTAATCCTAGCACTCTGGGAGGCTAAGGCGGAAGGATTGCTTGAGCTCAGGAGTGCAAGACCAGCCTGAGCAAGAGTGAGACACCCATCTCCACTAAAAATAGAAAAGTTAGCCAGGCATTGTGGCACGCACCTGTAGTCCCAGCTACTCAGGAGGCTGAGGGAAGAGGATCCCTTGAGCCCAGGAGTTTGAGGTTGTAGTGAGCTATGACAACACTGCACTCTATTCGGTGTGACAGAGTGAAACTCTGTCTCAAAAAAAAAAAAGAAAAGAATACAATACTAATCTAGTCCACAGTTTATATTTTGCCAGTTGTCCCAATAATGTTTTTTTTGTCTAGTCTAGTCCAGGATCACACTTTGCAGTTAGTTGTCATGTCTCCTTAGTCTCCTTTAATTTGGAATAGTTCCTCAGCCTTTCTTTGCCTTTTGTGATCTTGACATTTTTGAAGAGTACAGGTGTGTTATTTTGTAGAATGGCTGCAATTTAGTTTTGCATGATGTTTACTCATGTTTAGATTCAAGTTATATGTATTTGCCAGGAACACCTCACCCTGCCAAGTATATACAACCCTGCCAAATATATACAACGTAAATCTCAATAAGTGATGTTGTACTCCTTCTCAGAGGTACAACAGGAATTTGTCCCATTATTGGTGATGTTATTTTTTTTTTTTTTTTTTTGAGACAGAGTCTCACTTTGTTGTCCAGGCTAGAGTGAGTGCCGTGGCGTCAGCCTAGCTCACAGCAACCTCAAACTCCTGGGCTCAAGCAGTCCTTCTGCCTCAGCCTCCCGAGTAGCTGGGACTACAGGCATGCGCCACCATGCCCAGCTAATTTTTTTATATATATATCAGTTGGCCAATTAATTTCTTTCTATTTATAGTAGAGACGGGGTCTCGCTCTTGCTCAGGCTGGTTTTGAACTCCTGACCTTGAGCAATCCGCCCGCCTCGGCCTCCCAAGAGCTAGGATTACAGGCGTGAGCCACAGCGCTCAGCCGGTGATGTTATTTTTGATGACTAAGTTAAGGTTAGTGTTGCTAGGTTAATCGTTGTAAAGTTATTTTTCCCATTGTGCTTAATAAGCATTTGTGAGGAGATACACTTGAGTCTGTGTAAATATCCTAGTCGTCATTAAACTTTTGTTGCTAAAACACTAGTTTTAGTATTCCTTGATACTTGTTGACTGAATCATTGATTACAAAGATGGTTATAAAATAGTGATTTTCTGTCATTCCTTCTACATTTATTTGTTGTTTATTATAAGGGAAAGTGTTCCCTTCTCCCCCATTTTATTTATTTTTTATTTGTCAGTATAGACTCATAAATAGTCTATACATATATAGACTATAGTCTATATAGTATTTGTCAGTATAGACTCATAAATTCCTATTTATGCCATAAGTATTCTGTTATCTTTGTTTTGATGTTTATTTATTTATTTATATATTTTTTTGAGACAGAGTCTTGCTCTGTTGCCTGGGCTAGAGTGCTGTGGCATCAGGCTAGCTCATAGCAACCTCAAACTCCTGGGCTCAAGCAGTCCTTCTGCCTCAGCCTCCCGAGTAGCTGGGACTACAGACATGCACCACTATACCTAGCTAATTTTTTCTATGTATTTTTAGTTGTTTGGCTAATTTCTTTCTATTTTTAGTAGAGATAGGGTCTCATTGTTGCTCAGGCTGGTCTTGAATTCTTGACCTTGAGCGATCCTCCCGCCTTGGCCTCCAAGAGTTCTAGGATTACAGGTGTGTGCCACCACTCCCGGCCTGTTTTGATTACAGGTGTGTGCCACCACTCCCGGCCTGTTTAAATCATCTCAGATTTGGCCAGAGGAGGTCCCTTCAATCTGGGTCCTGTGTCCTTTTGACATTTTCCCATCAGTTTTTGCAAATTTTCTTACTTTCTTGCAGAATGAGATGTTCCAGTCTCATCTTCCTGTATTTAGTATTTTTTCATTTATGTGGTTGATAGTAGTTTGTTTTATATATATGAAATTTTAATATTTCTAAAGAAGTACAAAAACACTTTCAATTAATAATATTCTTATCTACAGTCATAACACTTGTTGCCTGAGACACATTGATTTTTGGTAATAAGCTGTCTGATTTCTATAGGAAGCAAATATTGACACCCATGATAGGTATTTCAGAAAGGTAAATGAGCTAGTAGAGATATATTTGTTCTTATATTCAGTTTGTCAAGGGAGCAGGACCTAAAGAAATGAGTGTACACAAACACAAAGGTAAAAATAGTTTTGGTGTTAGGGAAGAAATTGAAAAGTGATTCCTTAGCCAAATACGCCAGAAAAGTAAAAAGAAAAAAGAAGAAAAATATTATAATAAATAAAAATAAAAAAAGTGATTCCTATTAGGAAACCAGTATGCTTTCTATTTTTGAGTGTAACTTCTAGCTGAGTTCAGGGACATCAAAGTATAAATATTTTGTGGGCAACCATAAGTAGGGGCTCAGAATCCAAGGTATCAGCACTTTGTATGCAAAATGTTTGACATGCATATCTGCTGAAATACAGGTAATTTGGAATGGGTGAGTGTTGGCTCCCATAACCACAAGACAGAACTGGTCTCACTCATAGCTCCTTTCTCCTCTCTCAGCCTTATCTGCTTCTCAGAGTCCCACTCCTTCCCAGAAAGGAAGTTCTGGAGACCAGGAAATGACAGCTACACTTCTAAGATCAGGGTTCCAGGTGAGTTTAGCTCTTTCTCACTGAAACCCATAACTCTGCTTGGTACTGTTGTGGCACCTATGCTATGTCTGGACTATTTGTAGTAGTACCTACCCAAGAACTTGCCCAAATTCTTTTCAATAGAGCTAGATTGATCCCGGATTCCCCCCCAATAAATCGAATGCACTTTCCTCTTCTTCCTGGTTATTCAGATCTCTTTATACAATACATTCCCATTTCTTCATCCTATCCCAACTCTGGTGGATCTCTGTAGGTTTGAGCTTTGGAGCAGTCCCAGTCCCCAAATGGTTATCTTGTTGTGTTTCAGACTTTGGAGAAGATCGAAGACATGGCTGTGTCTCTTATTCGAGAAGAGTGGCTTCTTGATTCATCACAGAAGGATCTGAGTAGAGCTAACAAGCCAGAGAATTACAGAAACATGTTCTCCCTGGGTAAGGAGAACTGTGGTTATTATTGTATTATTTAAGATGTTTTATTTATTTTTTAAATGATGGTAGCTATGAGCTTTCTGAAAGTTGAGTTTAAACTCAGACTCCAACAGAGGGTTAGAGTGTTGAGACTTAATTAAACTTTTGCTCTTCAATCCAGCACTTCCTTACAGTTTGTACCTGGCTATTCGTCTGTTTTGCCAGTTGGAAATTGACATCTCTCTAGTTCTTTCTGAGTTCACCCATTTCTTCTCCCAGTTCCTATAGGATCGTTAAATCTATTTTTCTCACATAAGCCTATTGTGTCTCCTTTATTTATTTATTTATTTTGAAAGACAATCTCACTCTGTTGCCCAGGCTAGAGTGCAGTGGTGCTATCATAGCTTACTGCAATCTCAAACTCCTGGGCTCAAGTGATCCTCTTGCTTCACCCTTCCAAGTAGCTAGGACTACAGGCACATGCCACTACATCTCTATTTTTTGTAGAGATGGGGTCTTGCTATGTTGCCCAGGCTAGTCTTAACTCCTGGCCTCAAATGATCCTCCTGCCTCAGCCTCCCAAAGTATTGGGATTACAGGTTTGGGCCACTGCACCTGGCTGTCCCTCCATTTTAATGACCGGAGCATTTGCACCTTTCTGTCCCATTCATTAGCTCTTTTAGTAGTTCCATATTCCATCCCACTTCCCAACTTCTACTACATCTCATTGGATTCCTTCCTGACTTGAATTTCCCTTCTAATAACCCTCTTTTTTGATGGTACCTCTTTCCCAGTTGGCCTATGTTACTTCTGTCTGACCCTGCATATTATCGTCCTCTATTAAGAAACCATTTTGGAGACAGAAGCTTTGTGTTTACCTATACATGTTTCATATGTACTTTCCTTTTCCTCTTCATTTCCTTTCTCCTAGCATAAAAATAGGAAGTGACATTGGCTTAATGTTTATTACATTTTTATTTCAGGTGGTGAGACCAGGAATGAGAACAGGGAATTAGCTTCAAAACAGGTAATATCTACTGGAATCCAACCACATGGAGAGACAGCTGCCAAATGCAACGGGGATGTTATCAGGGGTCTTGAGCATGGAGAAGTCCGAGACCTTCTGGGCAGATTAGAGAGGCAGCGGGGAAATCCTACACAAGAGAGACGACATAAATGTGATGAATGTGGGAAAAGCTTTGCTCAAAGCTCAGGCCTTGTTCGCCACTGGAGAATCCACACTGGGGAGAAACCCTATCAGTGTAACGTGTGTGGTAAAGCCTTCAGTTACAGGTCAGCCCTTCTTTCCCATCAGGATATTCACAACAAAGTAAAACGCTATCACTGTAAAGAGTGTGGTAAAGCCTTCAGTCAGAACACAGGCCTGATCTTGCACCAGAGAATCCACACTGGGGAGAAGCCATATCAGTGCAATCAGTGTGGGAAGGCTTTCAGTCAGAGTGCGGGCCTTATTCTGCACCAGAGAATCCACAGTGGGGAGAGACCTTATGAATGTAATGAGTGTGGGAAAGCTTTCAGTCATAGCTCACACCTCATTGGACATCAGAGAATCCACACTGGGGAGAAGCCCTATGAGTGTGATGAGTGTGGGAAAACCTTCAGACGGAGCTCACATCTTATTGGCCATCAGAGAAGCCACACTGGGGAGAAACCCTACAAATGCAATGAGTGTGGGAGGGCTTTCAGTCAGAAGTCAGGCCTTATTGAACATCAGAGAATCCACACTGGAGAAAGACCCTATAAATGTAAAGAATGTGGGAAAGCTTTCAATGGGAACACTGGTCTCATTCAACATCTGAGAATCCACACAGGGGAGAAACCCTATCAATGTAATGAGTGTGGGAAAGCCTTTATTCAGAGGTCAAGTCTCATTCGACATCAGAGAATCCACAGTGGTGAAAAATCTGAATCCATAGGAGTTTACGAAAAGCTTCAATCATAGTTTGAGCATTATTCAACGTTAGAGGGTGAGAGATCTTTAGTAAAAAGGCAGAAAGTTTATCATCGTGGCAACTTTAGTGTCAGAATCTATAGTGGTGGCAAAGTTAGAATAGCTCTTCAATAGTTTGGGCCCTGTGCCTTGATGCACATTGATTAGCTTGACTGTCGTTGGAGGTACCTAGTGGATTGGCACTCCTGATGGCCTGATGTATCCTTTAGAAATTTAACATAGTATTAGCGCAAGTTGCTTGTCATGACTTGAGGCACTTAACTTTGTCTTTTGGGTGAGTAGCTATAGGTTTGAAAGTGGCTGCTACTCCTAGTTCCTCTGTTTCCTCCCATCTCCCGTGAAGCCTTTCTCCCATTTATTCCCCTAGGGGTGCCCTTGTACTCCCAATCTGATCTAAAAAGCTGCTCTAGAGTCCATAGCAGCCTGTATGTGAAACTTATATTTAGCTTTTTAAGATCCCAGTTTTAGGAACATTTTTATAGACACTTAATGTATTTATGCTTAAGTGTCCAATTTTTTATTCTAATGTTCCTTATAGTCAGTGGAAATCCGTATTCCCATGCAGACTCAGAATGCTATATTTTTAACAGCACCCAAGCATTTTACTTCATATATCTCCTTCACTGACTCCACTCAGTCATTAAGCATCTGTATGTATCCTTCATTGCCCCCAGTCCTCGTACCTGTGTGAGCAAAGGAAGTGGACACATTTACTAGTGGTTATGGGAGTGAAGCAGAGAAAGAGGTGAGTGGAGACTCAGCCCAGCTGCTCTTAAGCTTGGATAGTTGTCGCTGTCAGTGACTTCTGACTCTCCTTCCACCTCCCCACTGTACACTGTGGTACAAGTAGATATTGTGTTATCCTAGTTATAGCATCAGATAGGAGGAGGAAGAGACAGAGGTGCTTGAAAAAGACATAAAAATCCTTAAAAAGAATGTACTTTATCCCTTTAGGCCCATTATAGTACTGGTCTCTCAGGTTCCTATGAGCCTGCACAAGCTCCCTGACTAGATGGTCTGTCACACTTGTCATTACCTTGGACCCACCTCCTTAGATGGCCTCAGCACCTCACTCATTATTCTCCATCTATTTCTTACTATCAGTTTATATAATTTTAATATCCATAGTGGTAATCTAATACCTCACAATTCCTCATTCTTGTGAATTCTGGTATACTCTATCTATAATCCATGAACGTAATCTACCAACAAAGACAAACTAATTAAACTCATTAGCACCAGGCACTATGTTTCATCTTTGAGGTATTCCAAGGAATACTGTATAAAGTAATGAGGCTGGTTTAAAGTAACATGCTAGAACTTATGCATCGAATATGGGTTAACCTTTAAATTGGATAGTTCTTATTATTCCAAAGTACTATTCTAGTAGTGCTACTGATCCTCAAAATATTTGGAATATTCTTAGAATCCCCATATAATAAACCATAAAAGAAAACCCTCTATTACTGTTACTTAGAATTGAATAATTTTTGGTTTTCTAAAATTAACTCTCAGAGTTGAAATTGATTCTATTAAGCCTATTCAGAAAACTATTTAGATTCTGATGAAAACTCCACAATAGCACACTGAAAAGGGATAACAATCATTATTTTATGATTGATGGATTAAAAAATTCAATCATAAAACCTTAACTCATAGAGGTCCACATTTTGGATCATAAATTGCTTCCCTATAGCCCCCCTTTTCTACCTACCTGTGGCCCACTTTGACTAACAACATCAAGGTTATCTACATCTATTTCATTGAGCTATTGGTGAAAGAAGCCACCCATCACTTATCTTGATTTGCAATCCTTTCCATTATCCTTTATTTTCTTATCCTCTTTTTTTTTTGACCTGTAGGTTACCATTCCTAATTCCCTTGTACTTGAAATTTAAGGAAACCAGAAACAAGTAAATCTGGTTGTGTCTAGGTCCTTGCTGTCTGCTTCAGTTGTGCCTTACCCTCTGTAAAATACTGACTCTGCCTGGGGCCAGTACTACCTTGTATGCAAATATTACATACGAGGGGTACATTGTCAGAGGGAAAATACGCAGGTATGTGCATGTGTAAGTACACACACACTCCTCCCATATGCTTTAGAGAAACACTTGCCTTCTATTCCATTGAAGTGCTCTCTTAGTAGAGCAACATATTGAAATGTCTGTAGATATACAGGCTAATAATGTCTTTTTATGCATCAGTGTCCAGAGTAATATGTACCAGATTACTTAAATCTCAGAATTACTAAACATCTGGCAGAAATTCAGAGAAAAGAAATGAAGATGTATAGAAAAATTACTGTTACACTGGAGTGAGTGTAAAAAAAGACTGTTTCTTGAAAAAAATATCAAAGATAATTCAGCACATGTATAGAAATAGCCAAGTGGTGTAAGACAATAGAAAAGGCTGTAGATTCTTTGAGGACATAAGTAGAAGTCATTCTTAGTATATAGTTCTCACTCTTAGCACTAGAATATTATTGATCAGTCTCTATGACATTATTTTGAGCTCTTACCTGAATGATGTGCATTAAAGCTCACTTACCCTGCAGATTGTTTTTATGCTTTTAATCTGAAATGGACTATTCACCTCTCTTCTCCCATCCTCAGCTTCTTCTTTTTAGGACCTAAGGTGGTTCTTCCATAACTCTTTGGCCATCCAACATAGTCATAGGAGAGGTATCTTAGGTTTCAAAGATTTTTCTCCATGGAGCAAAGTGGCAGTACTAGAGTGTGGTGGTTGATTCCCATACAAGAGCATTTAGCTTTACTCTTGGTTCTGAGTCTCCAAATAATAATAGCTGACATTTATTGATCACTTACTGTGTGACAAACTCTTCTGTTAAGCATTTCTCATGCTTCTGATAGGTATTATTATATCCCCCATTTTATAGATAAAGAAACTAAGGCTTTGAGGGTTGAGTGAGTTGATCAATATCACACAACAAGTAAGTGATAGAAAAGATTCAAACCTATAGAATCTGATTCTAGAGCATGTACTTCTGACTACTGTGCTATGCTGGCTATAATAAACACCATAACTCTGGCCATCTGTTTAAAAATATGTATCCCTGGTCATGAGGTTGAAAATGCCATTTAGGGTTATAATTATATCATCTTCAAATGTTGACACTTTGTAGTACTAGAAAGCTGAATTATGTGAATAAAATATGTTTAAAAGAGTAACTGGGAGGATAACGCAGTAATAACTTGCAGATTTAAATATATTTCTCTCTAAACTGCCTAAAGGAAAGTAGAATTGTGGAGAAAAATGAAATATCCATGTACCAGGCCAGGCAGATGGGCAGTTAGGATGACAATAGTAAGTTTATCTACAGCATAAAATGTGAAAAACCTTCAATCTCGTTGCCCTTTTCTGTTTCTCTTCTGTCATTTCTGGTTTTTCAAACATGTCATCTATTTTTCAGCCCCATTTTCTTATTAATCTCTTAAAACTTCTCCTTACTGGCTTTTTTTTTTTTTTTTTTTTTTTTTTTTTTTTTTTTTTTTTTTTTTTTTTGGAGTCAGAGTCTCACTCTGTTGCCTGGGCTAGAGTGCCTTGGTGTCATCCTAGTTCACAGCAACCTCAAGCAGCTGGGCTCAAGCAATCCTCCTGCCTCAGCCTCCCAAGTAGCTGGGACTACAGGCATGCGCCACCATGCCCAGCTAATTTTTTGTATATATCAATTAATTTCTTTCTATTTTTAGTAGAGACAAGGTCTCGCTCTTGCTCAGGCTGGTTTCGAACTCCTGACCTTGAGCAATCCTCCCGCTTCGGCCTCCCAGAGTGCCAGGATTACAGGTGTGAGCCACCTTGCCCGGCCCTTACTGGCTTTTATACTCAGCATTCCAGTAAAATGTCCTTAGAAGCACCAGTGGATAACTAAACCATTAGACCTTTTTTTAGTTCTTGATCTCATTTATATTTCATATTGTTGAATTCCTCCTGCACTTCAGGAATTCTCTTCTCCTTTGATTTATGGGATCTTTTTATGTCATTTTTCTCCCAGTATCTGTCTTTTCTTTATTGGTCTTTTTTCCCCTTGTGTCCACGGAGGATAATTTTCATGTCTTATTTTTATTTACTACTTTTTCTATACTCTTATTTATCCATTTGGATTGTTTATACTTCTTTCTGTATATGAATAATCTCGTATTTCCTGTCCTGTGGGTCACGTGGGACTTGTGGAATTTTCCACAGATACCTACACAACTTGGTATTTGAAAACAGAACTCATCACTGTCAACCCCTATTTTATTTTTTTTTCAAGGAGGGTTTTTTTTGTTTCACCCATTTTCTTTTTAAATAGGCATCACTGCTTAACTACTTTACCCTGAAGAGACTCATTGCCCTTCATATTTTTCTCCCTACCTTGGAGTTATCTTTTCATCTTTTTCTGCCCTCTATTCTCCATGTCCAAAATTTGCTGTCAATCCAGTTCTTACTCAGTCTTCTTCAGGCTTGGTCTCCCAGTTTTACTATCCCATTATAGCTTTTCATATAGATCTACATCATATAAGGCCCAGGTTACTGTAATTCTTTTTTTCCAGTTCTCTTGCTCTCAGGATCTCTATCTTGTATAAAGCTTCTAAGGTGCTCCTCCTCAAACTGCATTTTCATGATGTCTCATTTTCACTCAATATAACAGTAAATAATTCCTGTCAGAGCAGTGGTGTTCCAAGTTCTCCATTACCTTGCTCTCCATGCTTAATCTGCCTCAGCTTTTATTACTCTGTAGCATATTCACCATGATTCATCACATTCAGACTTTCTACAGCCTTCTACTGTTGTCTTAGAAGCCCTTGCCTCTGTGCCTTTCTCATGCTATTCTTTTTGCTTAGATTTCTCTTGGTTCCCGGTCATATTCATCATTGCCTTCAAAGCCTAGCTTCCAGAACGTCTTCTGAGTAAGCTCTCCCTGATTGACTTCACCTCACACTGAGACCTCCGTTATTCTGTGCTGCCTCAGCACTTACCTTTTGGGTTTGTATGTGGTCCACGCACTTACTAATATATTGCTTTGTAATTATTTTCTAGCACTCTATATTGTAGTTTTACATTTGTATTTATTTCCAAAATTAAATTGTAAGCTCCTTGAGGGCAGGAATGACTTTTCATTTGTGTTTCTGCACCCCCGAGTGCCTAGTATAGTGCTAAGCACATAGTGGGCATTTAATAAATGCTTGTTGAATTAATTGTGTGGATTATTTATGATGTTATCTACAGAAATTTTTAAGCTGTTTTGAAGAATATCTCTTACTACTTTATGCGTTCAAAAAAGTACAGACCTATGTTTTTCCCCCTTATACTACCTTATCTAAGATACAAAGTACATCTGGATCTGCCTATACTTGAGAGTAAAGCCAAAGAAATCCAGCTTTCGGAGACTATGTCTCAAAACTTGAAATATGAAGCTCTCCATTTGTTTGGCCAGACTTAGTGATGGGTTAAGAAAGAAAGAAAATAGGAAACACAACACTATTGTATAATATTAAGGTTATAGGTACAAAAGTCCTTGAGAATAGGCTTTTATACCTGAGGTTAATCAGTGGTTCTCACTGGGAAAAATTTGGCAATGTCTGGAGATGTTTTTGGTTATACTATTAGTAGGCAGCTGGGATGCTACTAGCATCTAGTGAATAGGGGCCAGGGATGCTGCTAAGCACCCTGCATGCACAAGACAGCCCCCACAACAAAGATTCTCTGGCCCAAAATGTTTAATGCTGAGGTTGAGGCACCCTGGTCTAGATATGTTTAAGGTAAATAGGCGAAAGAAGAGATACCAAATACTAGCATTACTAGAAAAAGTGGCTATGCCAAGCTTTAAGAGAATACAATGTGTAAGATTATAAAAGAAAAAGGAGCCTTAGTGTTTAAGAGTTCATAACAATATACATGTACGGTGTTGATAATAAAATTGTTGATGTTCTAAGGTTGATTTCTACATGAAATCTGCCACCATCCCTATGCCAAGTGTTTCAGGAGTACAAATGTTACAGGAGTACAAGTCTAGTTTTAGCCCTCTACATCCTGACTCATTACCATAGCATCAAAGGTAAAACACTGGGGGCTATTTAGCAGAAGGGCTGTAATTTACCAAAGATTTAGCCTTGGGGGCAACAGGAGCCTAAACAGTTCCTTGGGCAGCCATTGACTGGACTATTACCACTCCTCCAAGGAAACCACAAACCAGAATATGGTCAGATTTGCCAAGTAAAACCCATTCCCGTGTAAAGTTTTTTTTAGAGACGAGGTCTTGCACTGTTGCCCAGGCTGAAGCGATCTTAGCTCATTGCAGCCTCGAACTCCTAGGCTCAATTAATCTGCCCACCTCAGCCTCCTGAGTAGCTGAGACTGCAGGCACATGCCACCACACCTAGCTAATTTGTTTTCATTTTTTGTACGGACAGGGGTCTTGCTTTGTTGCCTAGGTTGGTCTTGAGCTCCTGGCCTCAAACAATCTTCCCATCTCAGTCTCCTACTAAAGTGCTGGGATTACAGGTGTAAACCACCATTCAGCCTGAAGTGGGGTTTTTTTGTTGTTGTTATTTTAGACAGTCTCACTCTGTTTCCCGGGCTAGAGTGCCATGGGGTCAGCCTATCTCATAGCAACCTCAAACTCCTGGGCTCAAGCAATCCTTCTGTCTCAGCCTCCTGAGTAGGTGGGACTACAGGCATGTGCCATCATGCCCGGCTAATTTTTTCTATGTATTTTTAGTTATCCAGCTAATTTCTATTTTCTTTTCTTTCTTTTTTTTTGGTGGGGGGGTGTCTCACTCTTGCTCAGGCTGGTTTCAAACTCCTGATCTCCAGCGATCCCTCCGATCCCTCCGCTTCCACCTCCCAGAGTGCTGTGATTACAGGCGTGGGCCATCACGTTTGGCCCAGCCTAAACTTTTTAACATACTATGTCAATATTATTTAGGAAGGCAAATATGTAAGAGGAAATGTGATTTCCTAGATTAGTTAAAAAGCAGACCTTTAAAAACACTAGTTTCTTTTTGTGGTTCAATGGTACTTAATTCAACAGGTTTAAGAAGTTTCAAACCCAGAGTTAGAAAATCAGTTTAAATCCGTTTCTTTAATGCGCCAAAGAAATAACTGTATTGCCTTGTCATGTTTAAATAGTCATAGTTTACAGGACGCTAGGTTTGGACATCATTTAGTGTTTCAACCCATTCTGTGAAAGATGGGTTCAAACTTGCTGTTTCCACCTGTAATGTTTCATTTTAGGAAAACTCTTTTATCAGCTTTATGTCCAAACCAGTAAGTATACTTACTACTGTCTTGAGTTAAATTCTTTTTTAAGTAACCGGAGCGGTTTTGCAGTATCGCAGTTATGTTTTGAAAGTCCTGCTCTTGGGTCTAGTCCTTAATCTTTGAGAAAGCATATGGGATATACAGCGTTGGCTTTCAGATCACTGATAATGAAGAACCAGAGTTCCTGTAGTCCCGTGTTCCAGTTGAAAGGGATCTGTAGGGCCGCACTAGAGATGTTTCACCAGCTGCAGTGTTTTAAATTCCAAAATTCACAGGTGGTCCTACGCTGGTTAAAAACTCAGGAACCAAAAACCACCTTGGTGAGAACTGAGGTCGGAAATCAGAGCCTTGCCGATGGCACCGGGGGTAGAGTCGCTCCGACTAGGACATAGTCCGCACCGCGGCTGGGACTGGTAGAAGCTGTGCCCGCTCCGGCCAGCCGCGGACTAAGCGGGGTCCCACCCCGGAAGTGCTGAGAAGAACTTCCGCCCCTGTGGAGAAGGTTTTGTAGATGCTTGCGGCTCCCCGGCAGAGAGAGTGGTATGCATTGGGGCGTTGGCTGGGTAGGCGTTGCACTGCTGCAACCCTCCAGACCTCCTCTCCCCAGGCTAGCCTGAATGGAACGGTGGGTGGGGATTACACCGAAATGCAACCTTCCCAGAAAGGGTTTTTCTCGCCATTCAGAGCTGCAAGTGCCCAGAGTTGGGATGGCTTCCCTCGTAGGGGTACAGCCCCGATATTTCCTGCCAGCTTCAGAGCTTCATTGAGTCATAGCCACAAGTTAGGTCAGTACAATTGCGCTTCTGGTACAATTGGTATCATTGCCCACCAGACCTTCAGCTCGCTTTTTCAAACGAAAGAGGAAAACTACAAATAATTGGAGATAAGTATTAGGAGCTCTAAATTTAGGAGAGGCTTCCTTTCCCACTTCCACTTCTTGTGAGCGTTAACATTTCCTTTTGAAAGCAGAATAGACGTCTGTATTTCAGCTTGGCAGTGAGTGGTCACCTTTCCACTTAGTGATCACTTCCATCCACGCCATAGCAATCTTCCAAAAACCTCCATGGTAGTCTCTCAGGACGCCCTTCTGTCTCCTCCAGCAGTGCTCAGGGGCAATGACAGGGAGATTCCCATGGCAGACTTGCTGCAGCAGCATCTGATCTAAGAGCGCTTTGCAAATTAAATCCTCATTTAACATTGTACTTTTTTCTCCCATAACCCTTAGTAATTAGTATGCTATGACAGTATTTGCTTTTTATTTGAGTAAAATAATGTTTCTTTTACAGAAGTGTTCCTGAAGAAAAGGCTTTCTGAAGGAGTCTTACTAAATTGCGGACTCTCCAATTTAGTGCCTCATAGAGGACCTGGTTTCCTTGGTCCCAAGGATTCTGTTCATGAGAAAACTCTCCAGGCTAGCATGCTATAAGCTGGCTCCAGCAGCCCAATTGACAATGGCTGAGGCCAGTTTCTGCCATTCCTGACTATCCTGCCTAAGGAGCACCAGGTCTGGGAGTGGGAGCAGCACTGGCTGGGGGAAGGAGAGTTGTCCTTGCAGAAGTGGGTAAGCTGGACAACTTCAACAAATTGGGTGAATCCACACAGAGATTGGGAAGGGAGGGGTATTTATCAAGTCGTCTTAAAACTTTTAGTCTCTTAGGGATTCTCCTCACCCCCTTTTTTTAAGCATATGAGTCTGAAACCAGACTACTTGTGATTTTGGCCAAGTCATTTAATCTTTCTGTGGCTCTGTTTCCTCATCTGTAGATGGGAATGATAAAAGCACTTGCCTAGAGTTGTTATGAGGATTACACGAACAGTATCTGGTACATAGGAAGTACTATCCAGGTATTTGTTTTATTTCTCCCTCTTCTTACCTCCCGGGGATTGGCCTGTTCTGGTGATTTCTTCCTTTCTACAGTGATTCCTTTATAAATTCACATGTTTAATTTTTTCCAGGTCTCAGCTCTTACACATAGTCAGGAAGTAACTTGACAAGATATGCAGAGGGAGAATAACTCTTTCTCCAGTGTCACCCAGGAATATACCATCTAAATGTCAGTAACAGAGGCTCTTCCATCTACAGAAGAGTTGTGTTAAACTTTGACATTCTGTGGTTTTCTGGAGGTTCTGGAATTAAGGGAACTAAGAAGACTGAAAAAAAAAAAAAGACACCTGCTATTTAACAGGATCAGCATAAGTGAGTTATGAATGCTTAGCAGAGTCTGATTAAGTTCAGAGTGAGGCTACAGCAGGAGGAAATCCAGCTCAGCCTGGCCATTTCCGTGATTTTTATTGTGTAGGAGCTCCATCTTTGCTGCCCTGTTGTCTGGGATATAAGTTGTAAGTATATTTCCACTTCTTGTCTTTGACTTTGCTTAAGATGCTTTGTTTTACCTCATAGGAGTTTTTATTCTTTATATGTGGGTCAAATTTATCAATCTTTTTATTTATGACCTCTGGATTTTGGCTCATAATGAGAAAGGCCTTCCTACTGTGAGGTTATGTAAGACTCACTTTTTCCTCTGGTACTTTTTTGGTTTGGTTGATAACATTTAAAACTTTGATTTATTTGGAATATTTCCTAGTGTATAGCATGAATTAAGAAACCAATTTAATGTCTTTCCAGGTGATTATCCAGTTCTCTCTATACATTTATTGAAGAGTCTACTCTGCTTTTTCTTACTTATGTGTTACCTTTATTATATGCTAAATTTCTGCTGTGATTATGTCTATATCTGGACTTTATGTTCTGTACCATTTGTCTATCTCATCAGTACCACACTGTTTAAATCTTAAGGCTTTATAATATGTTTAAAATCCTTTAGGGGAAGTGCCCCTTCAAGTGCCCTTCTTTTTGTTTTCCCAGGTAGTCTTGTTTATTTTTTTATGTCAAAACTAAAACCTTCTAAAAAGTTGATATTTTTACTGGAGTGGTGTTAAATTTACAGATTGATTTTTGGGGCTAGTCTCTGAGGAGCCAGCCATACAGTAGCTCACTGCAGAGGCAAGCTCTATATTCAGTTGTCATCCAGGTGGTTTAATCTGTTGTCTGACCACGTAAATTTTGTTTACTTCTCAGTTTTCTTATATATGAGAGAAGTTTAATGTCAGGCCTTCAGGATAAAAGGAAATAAGTAGTGTAAAATGCCTTTTGAGGGGTAAATAGAATCCTTTCTTCACACCTCCTCGCACGCCCACCCCATTCTTGTCGACTCACGACTCACGAGAGGGAAGCCTCCAAAGATCCTAGAGCGGATCATCAGGTGCAGAAGCGCGAGATTCCGCGGAAATCGACCTCTGTAGGCCGACAGCTGTCTTCGATCATTTGGTCAGTTAGTTTAATCGCAGTTTTCCAGGTGAGTTCCCTCTTGACTTTCTACTAGGGTTTTGGACCCAGGGGTGAAAGTGAACGGCCACCTAGGAAGGGAGAAACTTCCTGCGCCAATTCCCCTCATTCTTCTAAACCCCTCCCCTCTTCAACCCCTTTCTCACACTTTCTTTTCTCCTGCCTTTTCTTATCTCCCTGTTCTCCTCCCTCATCTTCGTCTCCCTCGCCCACCTTGCCCTGTGAACTGGCAGAGCTGACCCCCAGAGACCCTGAAAGAGAGGATGGCTGGGGCAGGAGGTGCTCTGCGCCCCAGAGCTTTTCCAAGCCCGCATCTTATTGTCCAGCCCCTGGCAGTCTCTGAGGCTCAAAAGACTCTTAAACTCAGGAGTGATCCTGAGACCCCTACTCAATTTTTTTTACAGGGGCTCAGTATCCGAGGGCAGGATGGGGGAATGGAGACCTTATTTTCTCTTAGCCCTGGATCCTCAGCTCTCCTTTGCGTTGTTTTTTGTGTCTTGGGTTTGGGTTTTTTGTTTTTTAGAATTTTGCTTGTCGCTCGATGGAGATTTGACTGTTTTGTCATTATTTTACTGAGGTTATAGGTTTTGGGGAGGAAGACCACAGAGATGAAATGCCATTTTTATCATATCAAGGGTGCATACTGTTAACTTGGCTTACCACTGTGGAGACATAGAACAATTTGTAAAATGGAAAAATGCAGAGAGATAATTAGTGTAATTTGAATTTGGAACAAATATTTTATCAAGTTCTGAAACAAAATTGAGTTTGTTCCCCGGGGATGAGAGTGGCAGCAATATGGCCAGGCGCAGGGCGAGGTGGCTAACATCTGTAATCCAACCACTGCCAGGTGGGAGGATTGCTTGAGGCCAGTAGTTCCAGACCAGCCTGAGCAAGAATGAGACCCAGTCTTGGCTACAAAAAAAAAAAAAAAATTACCCAGTGTGTGCCCGTAGGCCCGGCTACTCCGGAGGCTGAGACAGAAGAATCGCGTGAGCCTGGGAGTTTGAGGTTTCAGAGAGCTGTGATGGTGCCATTGTACTCTAGCTGGGGTGACAGAACAAGACTCTGTCTCAAAAAAAAAAAAAAAAAAAAAAAAGAGTGGCAGCAGTCCACCAAGTTCTCCACACAGTGGTCTGAACTATAAAGATGGAATGGGCTGGTGGGATCCCTTTCTTTGTGGAGGTGAAGAGATTACTTTGTCACAATTCCAGAGGAGACAAAGCATCCCTGTTACTAACATACTGTTTATCATAGCAACAACAGCTGCAGTGATAGCAGTAGCATAGCAACAGGCAGAGCTTTTTGTGTTCCCATGTCTCTTCCAGCTAAAGTAGTATGGATTCCTGTGGGTGGCAAAACATGTTAATGTTGTTATTGTCATTTTTCCAAACTTAGTGAATTTCTGTTTCTTTTGCCTTGTCTATTCCCATACTCCTTCATCTGCTTTATCTGCAGATTTTTTCAAGTTTTTTGTTTCTCAGTTTAATTAAATAATGATTAAAAGTCTTTTAAAGTGGGAACTATATTATTTTTATGTTCACTTATATCCCAGATTCTGTGTTTTAGATACCTTTATAGAGGATAGATTTAAATAAACATTTTGAGTTAGGTGTTCATAGTTTTTTGATGTTACTGGGTTATGTAAGGGCTGAATGAAAACATTTAACCTGGCTGCCATATAATTGATGTGTCCTGGAATTACCAAACATGTTTGAAAGCCCCAGTTGATATCATGTTATATAGCTTTAGCAACAGGGAGTAAAAGTACATTTGAAAGGTCTGTTTATTATTTCAGGAACCAATCCAGAGATATGAACAAGGTCTCAACTCTGAAAAGATTTTTGTAAGGATGGACCCACACCAGAAGGTCCCTGGTATATATAATGGGGATACTTTACTGATTCCTGAGTATGAAAAAGTCTCTTGGTATGAGGACCAGTTAGAAAGGCATGAGGTTAGGCCCGCAGAAGAAAGAAGGTATAAATGCAGTGAATGTGGAAAGAAGTTTGCCCAGAGCTCAGGCCTTGTTCGACACCGGAGAATCCACACTGGAGAGAAACCCTATGAGTGTGATCACTGTGGAAAAACTTTTAGCGTGCGCTCAACCCTCACTGTGCATGAGAGAATCCACACTGGCGAGAAGCCCTATACTTGTAATGAGTGTAAGAAAGCCTTCAGTGTAAGGGCACACCTGATTATACATCAGAGAATCCACAATGGAGAGAAACCTTATGAATGTAATGAGTGTGGCAAAGCATTTAGTGTGAGCTCAGATCTTATGAAACATCAGAGAATCCATACTGGTGAGAAACCTTATGAGTGTCATGAGTGTGGGAAAGCTTTCAGTGTGAGCTCAGCCCTCATCAAACATCAGAGAATCCACACAGGAGAAAAGCCATATGAGTGTAAGGAATGTGGGAAGGCCTTCTATGTGAATTCAGCCCTTATTAATCACGAGAGGATTCACACTGGAGAAAAGCCTTATGAGTGTGGAGAGTGTGGAAAAGCATTCAGCCAGATCTCAACCCTTATTCATCACCAGAGAATCCCTACTGGAGAGAAACCATATGAGTGTGATGAGTGTGGGAAGGCTTTCCGTGGGAGCTCTAATCTTACTAAACACCAGAAAATACATGCCAAAGGAAAATGTCATCAGTGATTTATGTGGTAAATATATTCCAAAGGTGTTTTGTTGCATCAGAAGATACCATCAAAAGAAGAGTATGGTTAAAGTTAGTGCCTTAATTGACACTTCATCCCTTAGACTATTAAAGAAGTGAGAAGTCACTGAAAAGTGACTCCATCAGCATAATGACTAAGGTTTAAAATCACATCTACTTATGAGAATGCAGTTTTACAACCCATAAGGTAAAGCCATTTAAAAATCATATACCACAATGTAGTTTATTGGCTTAGTAAAAGCAAACTGCAGTAATTCAAACATTTTTATTTTTCATGTCCAAGCCTTTTATTGTTTTGTTGCTACCAGTATTATAGATGAAACATTAAATTTTGAAATTGGAAACAGTGTTGGTTAGAGAGGGACCACACATCCTCATTGAATCTGGAAATATCAACCTGTTGATCTTTTTTTTGCCTTTGATGTATCACTGTGCTCTGAAGGATGATTAAATGCTGTCCACCAGATCATAACCTAACTTCCTAACCATAATCCCCAAACCCTATATATGTATATATGTATATCTAAAACTTAGGAGAGAAATATACCTTTTAAAATTACTTTGTTATTATTTTTCTATTTTAACAGTGATTTCTCACTCCTGAGTAACAAACCTGAAATTTTTGTTCCCTGAAATTTAACTCCTATGAGGTTCAAGGTGACTACCAAATTGATAGAAATTGTAGATTGCCTTGATGATCCACAATTTAAACAGGTAGGAGGGAACACTGTCTGGGAATGAAATGGTGTTCTCAGAGTAGGGCTCTGTGTTGCAAAGGGATGCATTGTTTCCCTCTATTCTCCTTTAGTACTTCAGCTGTAAGACACACTAGACTTCATGAAGCTCTGAGCCAACTTGTGGCCAGTAGGCACTGAGGTCACAGATGCATGTGAAAAAGCACATTGTGAAGCCTCTGGTATTGGGATAGTGCTAGCCACCTTGTCCAAGTAGTATTAGGCCTGGATATGGGGATTGAAAGCAGAGAAGGTCATGGTTCTGGAGCTCAAATTGAGGAGGTATGAGGTCACTCAGGGAATGGGGCATGTAAGAAAGTAAAACATATAGGCAGAAGTAAAGGGCCTCAGCAGAATACCAGGAAGTTCTCTTTGCTGTGCTGGGTTCAAGTGTGAATTCCTTTGCCCTACTTATATTTGGCAGTTGAGGGAGATTGTTCCCTTTTGATCTGCCCTGTCACCCATTTCTCTGCTATTATCTTCAATGTTTTTAGTGTTTACCTTTTTGACCTCAGCTATCTTGGCTTGTTCCTAGGGTGGAGGTTTACAGACAGAGTCATCTGGGTAGAGAACACCTGGGATCAGCAATGAAAAAAAAGCACCCTACTACTCTCAGGGGACTTCCAGTCTATATGAAGACAAGGAGAAGAGAGTAGATAGAAAACAATGATTACAGTGATAATGCCACTGGATTTGTAGAATACCTTGCACTGAAGAAAGTATAACAATAACTCATGAGACAGGCTTTGGAGGAGGATGAAAGCTTAAAGAAAAATTAGTTTTTGAGCCACCTGTGTGAAAAAGAAGAATGAAGGAAGGTACAGTGGGAATAGCATATGAAAAAGCACAGTGCATCTGGCCGAAGACAATGAAGTTTTCAAGGACTGATCATAGAATGCATATATGAAAGTAGTATACCATGACCAGACCATGAAATTCTTGTTTGCTGCGCTAAAAGGTGTGAAACATGGCTGGGCACAGTGGCTCACACCTGTAATCCTAGCACTCTGGGAGGCTGAGGTGGGAGGATCGCTCAAGATCAGGAGTTCGAAACCAACCTGAGCAAGAGCAAGACCCTGTCTCTACTAAAAATAGAAATTAATTGGCCAACTAAAAATATGTAGAAAAAATTAGCCGGGCATGGTGGCGCATGCTTGTAGTCCCAGCTACTCAGAAGGCTGAGGCAGAAGGATTGCTTGAGCCCAGGAGTTTGAGGTTGCTTTGAGCTAGGCTGACGCCATGGCACTCTAGCCCAGGCAACAGAGCAAGACTGTGTCTCAAAAAAAAAAAAAAAATGAAACATTTTCTAGGCTGGTGTTTTTCAAACACTTTGTGGAATATGAATTGCATTTTATGTTGTAACCATTCTTGGGGGAGACAGTCTTCCTTGGGCCTCTTGCACTCACTCCTACATGTCTTGCTGGGTATGCCAGCACTGCAAGGGCATGGCAGCTCTTTTACCTAGGCTACTTTTCTGTATTGTTTATGCAGCTGGTATCCTTGAGAAATGAGGTAACATCTCTTAGACAAAGTAGGCTTACCAAGCTTGCTTATTGGTCATTTCGTGTTCTTTTAGAAAGTTCCTAATATATTCATGCACATGTTCTAAGAATTATTTACATACTCTAGATATGAATCCTTTTCACAAGGTATACAAATATCATCTCCAACTCTATGGCTTGCCTTTTTATTCTCTTAATGGTATCTTTTGATGAATATTAGTTTTTAATTTTGATATAGTTGTGGATCAGTTTTTTTCGTTTTTTTAATGTGTCTTATTTTGTGTTTTTTGAAGAATTTATTCTCTGCCTTGAAATCATGAAGATAATTTCTATAATCTTAAAAAGTTTTCTAATTTGCTTTTTCATTTATAGCTATAACCTATTTGAAATTGATTTTTGCGCATGAGTGAGGTAGAGTCAAATTTCATTCTTCTTCATAAAGATATTCATTTGATCCTGCATCATGTATAGGAAAGACTGTCATTTCCCACTGTTCTACAGTGCCAATTTCTCATAAATTAATTTTCCATATATGCATGGGTCTTTGGTTTCTCTATATTATGTTCCATTGGTTTATTTGGTTATCCATGCATCAATATTAAATTTCCTAATTATTGTAGCTTTACATCGTTTTGGTATCCAGTGGAGCAAATCATCCCACCTGAGGAGTCAAGCTGCAGGCAAAATTTCTATATGTGATTTTTTAGACCTGACCATAGGCAATTACGAAGACCTTACCCCTCATGGGGCAAAGCCACCCTACCCATACCAGACTTTGGGCACAGCCCATTGCATTCTCTGAAAGGAGTTACAGTCAAGACTCAGACCCCTCAGCTAGCCATGCTCTTAGACATACAATGTCTGCATTCCTAGTCTGGGTATATCTCCATTAGGAGGTCTCTTTATTAGAGGCCTCCCCTAAGCAATTTGGAGCCCCCTTTATTGGGATCAGGAAACTTGAAAACACTTTTCTCCTCCCCTAGCACGTTTCCCTTTTCCTCTTTCCAGCCCCCCAAGTCCATAAAACTGTTTGGATCTTTTGTCTGGGGCTGTCTTAGTAGTGAGATGATCCTCACATCTGTACTGATTTATCTGACCCTTGCCTGGCTCAATTACGTGGGTAAAAATGGAACACTGCAGGAGCCAGCACTTTCTTCTGTTGAGCACCTTGTTATTGCTATTGCTGATTAAAGCTTGATTGATACTTTATCATTTTGGCCTGTTTTACCTGACTGCTACAACACCTGGCAGCTCAGCCCCTTCCAGATCAGCTCAGTTCTTGATAGCACCTTCTTTTCCTACTTCATAAATGTCTTGGCTGTTTCTGGTTGTTTGCATTTACATACAACTTTTAGAATCAACTGTCCAATTCTACTTACTCCCTCCAAAAAAGTGTATTGGCATTTTGATTGGAATTGTATTGAATTTATAAATTAATGGGGAGAATCGACATTTTTATGTGAGTCTTCTAATTCATGAACATGATATAGCCGTCCATTTCTTTAGGGTCGGTTTAATTTTTTCTGTTAATACTTTATCGTTTTTTTTGTGTGTGCAGAGGGCTTGAACATCTTTATTAGATTTATTACTAGGCATTTGATATTTTTTTCCTTGTAATTGTTGATGGCATCATTTTTTTAAATATTTGCTTTTTGTTTACGGAGACTTACAGTTGATTTTTATATATTGACTTTGTATCCAGCATTCTAATTTATATGTAGATATTTTTGGTTTTTATATATACCATTTGCAAGCAATGACAGTTATATATTTTTCTTTCCAATTTTTATACTTTTTTTTTCCTTACCTTATTACACTAGTATGAAATCCAGTACCATGATAAAAAGAAGTGGTGATAGCTGGCATCCTTGTCAAGAAGGCATACTGTTACCTTAGCTATAGATTCCTTTCTCTAGTTATACATCTTGAGATTAGCCTTCTCCTGTATCTCCAACATTTTTGAGACTTGGAAATTCCAAGTTTATGCTGACCATTTACTTCTTGAGCTGCACATTCAGTGGAGGAGAAATAGTTTCTCAGGGCTGCCAGTCCCTTAGGCTCAAAAGAAATGATTTTCTGATTTGATACTCTCAGACTTTGTGCCCTTCTAATGGATGTGGTTTTGGTAATACAAGTTGGCCCTCCTTATCCACACATTCCACATTTGTGGATTAAACCAATCATGGATTGAAAATATTCAGAAAAAAAAATAATAAAACAATAAAATAATACAAATTTTAAAAATACAGTATAACATCTATTTACATATCACTTACATTGATTTAGGTATTATAAATAATCTAGAGATGATTCAAAGTATACAGGGAGGATATGCATAGATTATATGCAAATACTGTGCCATTTTATATAAAGGACTTGAGTATCCTCTGGGTTCCTAGAGCCAATTGCCCACAGATACTGAGGGACAACTGAATATAGTCAATTCTCATTGTTAATAGTAGTTGGGTTCTATAAAGTTGCTGCAAATACTGAATTAATACTTAACTATTGTTCCTAGAGGAAATGCAGGGTTATATAGTTATATTCTTTTGAGCCTCTGGTCACAACATTTTCCATCAATCAAAATGTCATTTGCATTGTATACATTTGTTTGCCGACATCTTTGTAAAACAACCCAGTCTCATCAGGATTGGAAAGCAGCTCTTCCACATAACTTTTTTCTGTATAACACTGCACAGATACTTTAAAAATATTCCACAGCCTGCTGATCTGTAGAACCTACTTCACCTGCAAATTTAATGTTTTCCGCACTATTGATGTGTGACTCAACCAGCACTAGCCGAGAAGGGCTTAACATTTTTCTGACCCTGGTTAACCTGTGTAAATTTGTTTGGCTTTCATCCTCAAAACAATGTGTCTGGCCGGCCGGGCGCGGTGGCTCAAGCCTGTAATCCTAGCACTCTGGGAGGCCGAGGCGGGCGGATTGCTCGAGGTCAGGAGTTCAAAACCAGCCTGAGCAAGAGCAAGACCCTGTCTCTACTATAAATAGAAAGAAATTAATTGGCCAACTAATATATATATATGAAAAAAAAATTAGCCGGGCATGGTGGTGCATGCCTGTAGTCCCAGCTACTCGGGAGGCTGAGGCAGAAGGATTGCTTGAGCCCAGGAGTTTGAGGTTGCTGTGAGCTAGGCTGACGCCACGGCACTCACTCTAGCCTGGGCAACAAGCGAGACTCTGGTTTTTTTTTTGTTTTTTTTTTGAGACAATGTGTCCACTATGCTTTTTTTTTTTTTTTTAAATCAGTTGTCATCTCATGAATCCTAACTTTAGCCACTTTTCATCACACACAATAAATGTGGCTCCATGTGGCTTTATGTGCAGATCACCAAATTTCCTTTTCCTTTTTCTGGATGTGCCACATTATTGATTCATTACCATTATATTCGTAGCCAATAGCAGTATAACTCATGCTTAAATGAAGCTTGCCTTCACTGTAAGGCATATCACAGTCTTCTTGCGTTTAGGAACACTAGACAGTACTTTAGCACTCTACTTGGGAACCATTTTAAACAGCAAAATCACCCACAAAAAAGTGGCACTAATTATGCCCCCAAATAACATGTGTTTTTGTAGTATGAGAGCTGAAACAAGACTGCAGAGTGTTACTTGTTTGATCTCTTCAGCTGGTATATTAGTTTCACAGGGCTGCCATAACAAATTACCACAAACTTGTTGGCATAAAAAAATAGAAATTTATTTTCACACCATTCTGGAGGCCAAAAGTCCAAATCAAGGTGTTGGCAGGTCCATATTCCATCTGAAGGCTATAGGGAACAATCCTTTTTGCCTCTTCTAACTTCTAGGAATCCTAGGCTTGTAGCCACATCACTCAAATCTCAAGGCTCTGTCTGTACACTGGCCTTCACCTCCTCTGTGTCTTCTTTTTTATCTCTTTTAAATCTTCTCGTCACTGGATTTAGAGCCCATCTAGACAATCTAGTATAATCTCATCTTGAGATCATAAACTTAATTATATCTGTAAAGACCTTTTTCTCAAGTAAGGTCATATTTGCAGGTTCCAGGGATTAGGACATAGATATAACTTCCTGCGGGGCCATTCAACCCATTACAGATGATAAATTTCTCTCCTCTCAGAGATAAGTTGATTAATACAATTAAGCACTGAAGTTAATTTGAAATTTTCTGGCAAATAAGATGAAATGAAAATATGTTGTTTTATATTGTTTTTCATTTGTCTAACAAAAAAGAGCACTTATATTTGACTACAGAGGTGAACTTTTTCCAGGAACTAAATTCAAATAAACATATTGCTTGAGTCCCTTTGTAAAGGATATTGAATAATAGAGTGAACATTGTCTTCAACTATAGTTTTAAAAAGAGAAATACTTAAAATGGATCATAGTAAACCCTAAAACAGTCCCATAAAATCTTAAGTGTAAACTTGTTAATAAATTAGAACAACTGGCCAGGCACAGTGGCTCACTATAACCTAGCACTCTGAGAGGCTGAGGCAGAGGATCGCTTGAGGTCAGGAGTTCGAGACCAGCCTGAGCAAGAGCAAAACCCCGTCTCTACTGAAAATAGAAAAATTAGCCAGGTGTGATGGCGTGCACCTGTAGTCTCAGCTACTTGGGAGGCTGAGGCAGGAAGGATCGCTTGAGCCCAGGAGTTTGAAGTTGCTGTGAGCTAAGCTAACGCCACGGCATTCTAATCCAGGTGACAGAGTAAGATTTCATCTCAAAAAAAAAAAAAAAAATTACAACATACCTACAGAAAAATGCACAAATCATAAACATACAGTTTTATCAACTTTAAGTGAACTCACTTGTGTAACCCACATCCAGCTCAAGAAACAGAATATTTGCAGCATTCCAGAACCCTCTTTCCCTACGATCCCCTCTAATAACCCGAATGACTTTTGCCTGTTTTTGAACTTTGTACACCATGTACTTTCTTGTATCTGGCTTATTTCTCTTAATAATTATGTTTGTGAGATTGATCCATGCTGTTGAGTGTAGTTTTAGTTTATTCTCCTATGAAATGTCTAACTTAGTGAAACATTTCTACATGTGGCTAAGAGAGTATGTATGTTCATGGATTTGCTTTATGTAATAATCTTGCTTTATATGATAATTAAAAAGGTTAGACTTAAAGAATCTAAATGGATGGAAAGCTAAATGGTTATTAAGTAGTGTCCCTCAAATTTCAGTTGGCTTAAGCAAGCATTAGGCAAGTATTGGGTAGAGATTCATGATTGAATTCTCGGCAAAGGACCTGTGATTACATATTCTGTATAGCCATGTCAGATTCTTCTTGTAATAATTTAGGGGATGAATGGATAAATAGATAACTAAACTTTATTATGCCCAGACATAAGGTCAACTCACTTCAGCATGTGCATGAATAGTAGAAGAATTTCTAAATAAAGCCAGTTTATTCCTCATGAAAAAAAAACTCTGAATCTGGTCAGTCACAGTTTGGGTGCTTAGTTGGGATTCTAAAGTTCTTTATCAAAAAATATGAAAGAGGCCACTTTAGCCTCAGAAATGTTTAGAACAAGTCTTACTTGGTGGCTGCTCAGTTCATTAAAACATCTAGGTTGAGTTCTATTGATGTCTGAATTCTAAATAAGCATACTTCCATTTCCATAACTACTTACAATTTTTCTCTTCTTCCACTTCCCATAGCACATTGTTTTTTCCTTAGGACATTCACCTTCTGTTTTACTCCATTATCTGTCTCTTTCATCTTGCTTATTTTATTACGAGTTCTTTGATTACAGGAATTATTACTCCTTATGAACTCTCTGCAGCCCCTAGTGTGGTGAATGGCTTGAGATTGTACAAGTCAGTTTGGGCTAATTATGATCAACAAGCTTTTTATTATGTAACCAACAACTCTCCAAATCTCAGCGACTTACAATAACAAAGGTTTTTCTTATTTATCTTGCATTTCAGTTATGGATCAGGTACAGTTCTGTAATATATTTTCTCTACTCTAAGATTCAGATTAGAGAAGTAGTCCTACCTTGAGTATGCTAGTCTTGTGGCAATCGTAAAAACAATGGTAGGACTACAGGATGGCTTCTATTCAGGAGACAATGTGTCACTTCTACTTATATTTCAATGGTCAAAACAAGTAAACATGACCAGCTACTATAGGGACGATAAAATAATCCTTTCAAAAAAGGAAGTGAATAATTAAGAACAACATTATTAAGATACTGTATCTGTTTGGATAGCCAATATTTATGACATGCTTTATTTACCAGGGCTTTTTTGAATGCCTTATATGTATATTTTTCTCAATGAAAACAGTGCTGTGAGACAGATACTTCTATATTTCCATTTTACAGCTGAAGAAGTTGAGCTTCAAAGATATTGAATAACTTGACGAAGGTTATGCCACTAGAAAATGGTAGAGCCAGAAATTGAAACCAGAAGTCTGACTCTACAACCTATTCTTTTAACCACTGTGCTGTATTATGAGAGTCTTAATCTGAAGATTTATGTTCATCTACCACATTGGGCTTTAAGAGGCAGAGAGTTGTGCTAGTAAAAACTCGAAAAGTGAGATTCAAGAGCCCTTGGTCTCAACCTGTATTTACCTGTAATAACCATACTTCCTAGGCTAATACCACCTAGCTGGCTCTCAATCTCTAATTCTTAAACAAGGAAGACAGACCAGATGCTCCCTGATACCGTTCTCAGCTTTGTGATTTTTTTTTTTTTTTTTTTTTAGATAGAGTCTCACTCTGTTGCCCCAGCTAGAGTGCCATGGCATCAGCCTCGCTCACAGCAACCTCAAACTCCTGGGCTCAAGCGGTCCTCCTGCCTCAGCCTCCCGAGTAGCTGGGACTATAGGTATGTACCACCATGCCTGGCTAATTTTTTCTATTTTTGGTAGAGATAGGGTCTCACTCATGCTCAGGCTGGTCTCAAACTCCTGAGCTCAAAGGATCCGCCCACCTCAGCCTCCCAGAATGCTAGGATTACAGGCATGAGCCACCGCGCCCCTATAGCTTTAGGATTTTTATAATCTCTCCAAGTACATAGTAAAATACCGTGTTGATATTGATGTGATGATCTGTTCTTTCATCTGCTGCTTTTTTTTTTATTTTTAATTTTTTTTTCTGTTTATTTGAACATCTGGGTGCAGATGGGTGGAGGCTGAAAAAGGTATCCACCTTGCTGCTTTCTATATTATTATGTTCATAGTAGATCTTGAATCTCCCCAGTAGCTTCCTTTCTATTTTACATCTCAGGCTTACATTAGTGGTAATACTACTGCTAATATTAGCTACCATTTATTGAGACCTACTCTGTTCCAGATATTTTTTCTGACTCTTTAGGTAAGTTATTTCATATATAACTCTACTTTCTGCTTCATTTTTTCTGCAAAACTAAAACTGCTCTTAAATAATAAAGTCCACTAATTTAAAAAACACAACAAACATACATCATTAACAGAGTGGAAACAGATATTTGGTATTTATACATAACAAAGAGTTCATGTGCAGAATGTGAAAAGAACTTCAGTCTTCAATAAAATACACTACACAAGGGGCCCAAAGCTAACTCCTGGAGCCAGGTGATTCTTAATCACCTGATGGGTGATTTCAATATTATGGAGCGGCTCAGATTTCCTCAGAGGAGGGGTAGGGGAGGGAAAGGAATGAAAAGCCAGAAACCACAAAGTGACAACCTACACCAATCCTGAGTTACCAGTGATCCCAGAGAGAATCAAACCTCCTGATTCCTGGGCGGGCACTGGAAGTAGACTTAGGCTCCAGGGGAGCCTTTTACTCTCACTGTTGTGGGCTCCTAGGTTGACCCAGCAGTAGGGTTTTCCCTTTTGTGCTGCCAGGGCTAATCTCCAGGAAGTACCGGCCATCCTCAGAACACTGGGTGAGCGGTTTGGGCTTCTCCCCAGCCAATCTGAAGAAGCCTCCTCTACATCGTCCAGTTGGGCAGAGGTGGGGCATCAGTCTTCACCCCAAGGTGTGCATACAGTGCTTGATAACGAGCTTCAGGGACGATTTATCCCTCTATTCAGTTTAGATTTGCCACTGTTATTTTTGTCTTTATAGTATTAAATAAACTAGACTTAGATTTTGCCTAGTAATTCTTTCATATCACAGCATGTCAATAGTTGAAGTGGGTGAGGGAACCCAGATGTCTCAACTGATGTAGAGGTGCTTAATGTTCCCTGAACGAACACTATGACCACTTCATGATTTTTTAGTGTTTTGCTGCCCTGGATAAATAGTATTATTTCCCTAGATACCACAAAGGTTTTATTGTAAAAATACTACGCTCATGTGTATGTTATCATAGAAAGTTTCCCAAGACGTGACAAGATTCAGTTTCCCTTCCCTTGCTAAGGATCATGAAACCTCCTTTTCCCCTACTGGAGTGTCCCAAGACCCCCTGGCTCACCAAAGGAATTATGAAGGGGTATTAGGTTATGTGTATATATAAAAGAAAACCTCGGGGAACAGGGTATGGTGGCCTTCCAGGCTCTGCTGATGTGCTTTTCTCTTCTTCCTTCCTGTAATGTAGTTGTATAAACTACAAAGTCTTTAAAATCTTTTTTCCCTAGCTTTGAGATATAATTGACAAATAAAATTGTATAAATTTAAGGCATACAGTGTGATGATTTGACATATGTATATACTGTAAAGTGGCTACCACAGTCAAGTAAGTTACACTTATTTTTTGTGGATGCTGCTATTTCTTTCTGTATTCTTTTGATCCTTCTCCTTTGTGGTCCTTCAGCACTTCTGCTTCTTGAGGTCATTATCATCATATACCGTGAATATCCTGGTGGTACAGTGGCTTTCAGGCTTTGAACAAGGGCCCACCAAATCTGTTAGTGCACACACTATGCAAAGAATTTAGTGGGATGAGTGGGGAAATGATATTGGTTTTCGTTACCTAAATGAGGGGTACGCTAGGTAAATTAAGTTTTAAAATGACTACTCAATGACATGACTTGTTTTATTTATCTGCTCACCCATTGGTGAGGGAGGGAGTCCCACCCTAAGATTCTGAGGATGGCCAAACACTTGACACTGGCATTTAACAGATGCGACTGATAATAGTTTATTAGTCACTTATATAATACTTACAGCCCAGGGGAGGAGGACAGCACGGGGCCACTCAGGAGCGTAGTAAACAAGCAGGGGCCATGGGATGCCAGCTTTCTAGTAACAAGAGAGTGAGGTGACACCTGGTTTCCCCAGAAGGCTGTGACTGGCTTGTTTGAATAATCTTGTGGGTGATGAAACCCATGAGGTCGAGGACCAGGTGCAGTGCAGCTGGTCCAGTTGATGGGGAATGAGGGTGGTACTAGCCCAGCAGGGAATCTTTGAGGCTCAAAGATATCAAAGCAGCACATGGCATTTTAAACCAAACCTGCTCACTTTAACTTAGAGAAAAAGTATAGTTTTTCAGAAACATTTATAATATATATCTTTGTTCACAACTCTCTTAATTCATATGTCCTTTTTGTTTGTTTGTTTAAATCTCAGTGGTACACATCTCTCCTTCAGTTCCTCTTTAGGGGGAAAAGATCTCAGAAATATCCTTGAGCATCCAGCACTCCAGTTGCACTTGCTCAAGTATTGGTGGTGGAACTGAAGAGACATCAGGTACTAGATAGAGTCTATAAGGCTTCCTGCTGTATGTTCTGATTTCTTATGCTAAAAGCTATCTCCAACAAGCCATGATTTTTAGAAAAAAAGGAAAAAAAACTAATGTAAAAAATAAAATAAGGCTGGGCACAGTGGCTCACGCCTGTAATCCTAGCACTCTGGGAGGCCTAGGCGGACAGATTGCTCAAGGTCGGGAGTTCGAAACCAGCCTGAGCGAGACCCTGTCTCTACTAAAAATAGAAAGAAATTAATTGACCAACTAAAAGTATATATACAAAAAATTAGCCGGGCATGGTAGTGCATGCCTGTAGTCCCAGCTACTTGGGAGGCTGAGGCAGGAGGATCGCTTGAGCCCAGGAGTTTGAGGTTGCTGTGAGCTAGGCTGATGCCACGGCACTCACTCTAGACTAGGCAACAAAAGTGAGACTCTGTCTCAAAAATAAATAAATAAAAAAAATAAAATAAAAGCAATGATACCTCAAGCTCAGTTCCCTTATTGTTCACTATAATCATGTGAATGCTTATGTGCCCATTTGCTTTAGTTTATCCCTTTAACCTCTGGGATAGGCAGTCTGAAAAACATTGGTGTTGTCTTCAACACTGACTTTAAATGAAATATGCTTTTTACTATTAGAAGGACATGAGAAATTATTTAGAAAATTTATACCAGTGAAGTAAAAATTAGGGCATTTCACTATATTCGTATTTTTATGGAGATGGTATAAATAACACAGCAAGCAAGAAAATTCCAGAGGTGCTAATTATTCACTTTCATTATATCAAAGCACTTATTTCATTTTGCCTTGTTTCAAGGCTCTAGGTGTAATTACTTGGGAAGTTGAAATTGTCAGCCAGATGGAACAGTCCATAAATATCTATGACACAAATAAGTAATTTTGGCAGAAAGAAGAGAGAGAACATTAAATTTTCCTGAAGCTAGACACCTAGAAATTTAAAATATAGATCCAAGATTTTCACAGATCTATACATGTATATTTGAGGAATTTTCAACCAATTGGATGTATTCCCCCATGAACCATGCAGATTTGCTTAGCTTTCTGGTAGTGGAACTTGTGCCAGATATGAAAACTGACATTCTAAGGATCAGATACATTTGGCAGACACTTGTGTAGCTCATTCAGTGTTTTTTAAAAATTGAATTATTTGCCAACTATTAATAATTTAGATATTTTAAATAAAAATCTGCCTAGCACTCTGGGAGGCCGAGGTGAGCGGATTGCTCGAGGTCAGGAGTTCGTAACCAGCCTGAGCAAGAGCGAGACCCCGTCTCTACTATAAATAGAAATAAATTAATTGGCCAACTAATTTATATATATAAAAAAATTAGCCGGGCATGGTGGCGCATGCCTGTAATCCCAGCTACTTGAGAGGCTGAGGCAGAAGGATTGCTTGAGCCCAGGAGTTTGAGGTTGCCGTGAGCTAGGCTGATGCCATGGCACTCACTCTAGCCTGGGCAACAAAGTGAGACTCTGTCTCAAAAAAAAAAAATAAATAAAAAATAAAAATCTGGATTTTTTTTTGTTTTTTGGACACATGGTCTCACTCTGTCACCCAGGCTACAGTACAGTGACATGATCATAGCTCACTGCAGCTTTCAATTCCTGGGCTTAAGCAATCCTCCTACCCTCCCACCTCAGCCTGTCTAGTATAACAGCTAGGACTACAGGCTCATACCACCACAAATTATTTTTTTTTTGTAGAGATGGGGGTCTCACAATATTGCCCAGGCTGGTCTCAAACTCCTAGCTTCAAGCGGTCGTCCCTTCTCAGCCTCCCAAAGAACTAGGATTATAGGCATGAGCCCTAGCACCCAGCCAAGATTTCCACATTACCTTGGAAGATTAAGATCTGGCATCACTGGGCTAGACCTCTGTAGATGTACCATTCAGTTCATTCCATTGCCTACCTTCCAGGTTAATTTTCTGTCTGGGCCCTAGAGGCATTGAATTTGCTTCTTAGAAGAATGATTATCTCAAAAGAGGATTTTATTTAATGGCAGAGAAAACTAAACAGAAAAAGGTAAAGTCACTCTTTACCATCTTAATATGTTATTTGCAAAAAAAAACAAGAGAAACAATAAATTGAGGAAAATTTTAAAAGAGGATGTTTCTTTTTCTTTTTTTTTTTTTGAGACAGAGTCTCACTTTGTTGCCCAGGCTAGAGTGAGTGCCATGGCGTCAGCCTCCCTCACAGCAACCTCAATCTCCTGGGCTCAAGTGATCCTCCTGCCTCAGCCTCCCAAGTAGCTGGGACTACAGGCATGTGCCACCATGCCGGGCCAATTTTTTGTATATATATTTTTAGTTGGTCAATTAATTTCTTTCTATTTTTGGTAGAGACGGGGTCTCGCTCAGGCTGGTTTCGAACTCCTGACCTTGAGCAATCTGCCCACCTCGGCCTCCCAAAGTGCTAGGATTACAGGCGTGAGCCACCGTGCCTGGCCAAGAGGATGTTTCTTGATTTCATTTAAGTAAAAGTAATAAAACATATTTTGTCAATAATTTGACTTTTATGGCCTTTTCTAACCTCTGAGAACCTAAAGCATTTTCAAAAGTAAACATAACAGCTCTCTCTACAGTAATTTAGCTAATACACATTTCTTTTTTTTTTTTGAGACAGAGTCTCACTTTGTTGCTCAGGCTAGATTCAGTGCCGTGGCGTCAGCCTAGCCCACAGCAACCTCAATCTCCTGGGCTCAAGCGATCCTACTGCCTCAGCCTCCCAAGTAGCTGGGACTACAGGCACGCGCCACCATGCCTGGCTAATTTTTTGTATATAGTTGGTCAATTAGTTTCTTTCTATTTTTAGTAGAGACGGGGTCTCCCTCTTGCTCAGGCTGGTTTTGAACTCCTGACCTTCAGCAATCCAGCTGCCTCGGCCTCCCAGAGTGCTAGGATTACAGGCGTGAGCCACCGCGCCCGGTGGCTAGTACACATTTCTGAAGACATTAAGTATTTAAAGAATAGTTACTTCATATATATGTGTCATGTATTTTATTAAGGGTATATACAAAAGGTGAGTAAAACGTGGATTCAAAGTTGATGAATTTACAATCTAATAGGAAAGATAAATGAACACAGATCAAAAAATTCTGCCTGGGAGAATTGGGAAAGTAAAAAAATGGGCATTAAGTGGGACTTTAAGGATAAATAGGATTTTGAGGTTTCATTAGTCAGGGTCTCCAGAGAAACAGAATATTGACTTACTAATACTCTATTATTTAATACTATACTATCAATTGTATATTATTATGTGTACATATAGAGAGATTGATTCATTTTTAAGGAATTGGCTCATGTGACTGTGGAGACTAAGTTCAAAATCTGTAAGGCAGGCTGGCAGGCTAAGAACTCAAGCAGGATTTCCATGTTACATTCTGGAGGCAATATTCCTTCTTCCAATGATATGTTTTTGCTCTCAAGGTCTTTAACAGATTAGATGAAGCTCACCCACATTATAGAGGGTAGTCTCCTTTAAAGTCAACTGATTGTAGATGTCAATTGCAACTACAAAATACCTTAACAGTAGCGCCTGGGAACACAGCCTAGCTAAATTGACACATAAGTTTTAACTATGACAGATTTGTAGGGAAAAGTGGAAGAAGCCATTAACATATGAGTAACTGATATTTCACAGGGGTGGTATACGCAGTTTCATATAAAGGGTGTTGGGTAGAGTAAGAGTAATAGGTTATCTTGTTTTCTAGGCTGTTTACATCAAAATTATGTTTTATTTGCTGGAGTATAGCTCCTGTGGAAGAGTCCATTTTAAAGAAATTCAGGCTGGGCGTGGTGGCTCACGCCTGTAATCCTAGCACTCTGGGAGGCCGAGGTGGGAGGATCGCTGAAGTTCAGGAGTTCGAGAAACCAGCCTGAGCAAGAGCAAGACCCCGCCTCTACTACAAATAGAAATTAATTGACCAACTAAAAATATATAGAAAAAGTTAGCTGGGGATGGTGGCGTGTGCCTCTAGTCCCACCTACTAGGGAGCCTGAGGCAGGAGGATTGCTTGAGCCCAGGAGTTTGAGGTTGCTGTGAGCTAGGCTGATGCCACAGCACTCACCCTAGCCCTGGCAACAGAGTGAGGCTCTGTCTGAAAATAAATAAACAAACAAAATAAAGAAATTCAAAGCATTGCTCAGGTAACAAAAGCACACAGGAACGTGAGTCCATCACAATGAAAATCTCTTCCCAACTCGCTCAGTGCACGTTAAAAAAGGGAAGTAACTTGGTTGGTGAAGTGCGTAGATTGTAATAGCTTCCTTGGGTTCATTAGGTCATCCATCCATTTATTTTATAATAAACCTATCTGGTCGTTATAATTTACTTCAATGCTTGGAACAGAGAGAGTGAGGGATTTATTTAAAGCGACACAGACCGAGACTAAAATTTCTTGACCCCAAGTCTGACATCTTTTCTGCTACTGTTTTCAGACGTACGTCTCCTGGGTGCAAAGGTCTCCTCACAAAGACTTAAAGAGCTCTAGGCTGCTTTAGGGAGGGCGTGGAGCCGCGAGGGGAGCTGGCTGGAGATGGAGAAAATAGAGACGCCCAAACCTCCGAAGCTCCTAAGAGTCTTGTGTAGACCTATTCCCGATTTTGCTCACGCTCAAGCTCTCTCTTCTACTCTCTGGAGAAGTAGAATGAAGATTGGGGCTCTGGAGTGGATTTAAGAGAGAGGGCAGATGCTAGAGTCAAAGCTAGGAAGCGTGGAGGCGACCGTGGGCTCTCTTCGCCCAGCCCCGGCTGCGGGGAGCGCCCTCAGCCTATGGAGACCTCCGGAGAGGGGCGGGACGTTACTTCCTAGCTGAATGCGGTGGCGGGTAGGGTGGGTGTCACGCTTTCCGCTGCGCAACAAAAACCTTTGTCCGCAGCCTTGGCAACAGTTTGTACCTACACTGTTCAGCTTCATTTGTCACTGCAATTTTATCTTACAATATGAAGTTAAAGAGTTTACGTAAATTCTTGGCTGCCCTG